CACACTCCTAAAGTCCCGCTCTCTTTCGATCTCTCGCGCCGAATACGTTGAGCCGTTTTTTTGTAGATTGGTATGAGATCCTCTCTCCGGACAGGATTCAAGCGCTCTCGGTCGCGCTCAAGCCCCGTGCTTCTGCGTCGAGTCGGGCACCTTGTGAGGAGATTTCCGACGATTGTAGGACAGGCCACTCGTCGAATGAGACGGGATGCGCGGAGGACTCCCCTCAAGAGCGTTCTGAGAGGCAGCAATATCTCATAACAAATCCGACTTGATCGCCAGACGTCGCGAACAAATGGAAGTCAGCAGTCGCATCGGCTCTGGTCTGAGGGGAGGCGTGGTGCGTTCTTCCTTCCGATTGGAGCGGCAGCGACGAACGCAGTCATCCTTCATGGGACTGAGCGACAGGCCGAAAAAGCTACAATCTATCAGATGGGAATGTCCAAACAAGCAGTCAGAGGGAGACTCGCGATGAACAGCTATTAGCGTTGCGGACGGCGTCCCTCGTGACCGAGGACTCGTCTGATGACTTCCAGGCGAACATGACTTCGCTTTTGCGCCGGAGAGCTGTCGAGAGCCGATTGCAATCCGCATTCTCTCGATCGAAAGCCGATTGCGCGTTGATCGAAGCGAGCAGCGAAGGGCTGATCTCTCGCGAGTGACTTGCAGTGAGCTTGAATTTCGCGAATGTTGATCGTCGTCGGGTGCACCGGAGTAGAACTGTACCTCTAACCGGGATTACCGAGATTGCACAGCGGGTTCCTTCCTTCGCCAATCGCTCGCGCGGTCCGGCGCTTGATCTACGGCGGGGAGCGGCTCTCGAGACTCCGTCGTCAAGCTTCCTATGTCTTATCCTCCTCAACAGGAAGAACTACATAGTACTACGACCAGGGCTCCACGGAGGTAGTCGAGGCGCTTGGCGGAGGGGTGGCAAGAAGGCACGGTGCGATGGCTTTCTCGCACCGGAGCCATTGATCCTGTCAAATCTCATTCCAGTAAGAGGAAAGACGGGAAATCCATGAGGAAATTTCTTTCGACAAGTTCGCGATGTTTCTTGTGAGGATGTCTGACCTCACGACAGCTGAGGAGGCATAACGAAAGCTTCAAAAATCGATACCTCATGACTCATCAGACAGAGGTCTTCCGCACCCAGTCGGCACTCTCACGGATTTTTTTTTTCAAGATGCGGAGATCCTCATGAGACATCGTATTATTCACATTCACGGCGAACGCGGAAGGCAACGCACGTCTCTCAGCACTTAAACTTCGGTAATCTACGAGCTAACGAGCTTTCGGAGCGTCGAGGAATATTTCGTCGTATGTATATTCGAGGAGGGAACACGAATTAAAACTGTGCTCCGAAAACACTCAGCTCGCAGCGAGCCCGCAGGAGTACCGCACTCAACAAGTTGGCTCAGTTCCACTCGAGCGCTTGTCCCTGGGCATTTCCATTGTTTTTACTTGCATTGAATCTTTTGAGAGTTCGATCCCAAACTCGTTTCGTGCCTCTTGGGGTTGGTTATTCTCCTCTCGGTGCGTCCCGCAGCCGTCGTTTTGGGCTCGCGAGGCTGCTGCTGCTGCTACCGATGGTTTCTATGGTGGAAGAGGAGACGCGGCTCCCATCGTGCGTACCTCCGCTCATATCAGACAAGCGAATGAGCGAATTCTCTGCGGAGGCGAGAGGATTTGGAAATCTCAGTGATGGTCGCTGACTGTCTCTCGAGCTGCGATGGGATTGCTGGCTCCGCTCCAGTGCAAACCAACAGGCTCCCTCTTTTCTTTTACCTAATTAAATGAGCTGAGCTGCGCGTGACAGTTCAACCGCGGAGAGGATCCATGGTCTCGTCTCGCAGAGCTCGCCTAAGAGGATATGTATACAAATACATACTCATCTTTCTAATGATCCCCGCACTTCTTTGCGCTCGTGTTTGCGCCCACCATATGCGCTCCGGTCGGGTGCGAGACTGCCGCTGTCATCAACTCTTCGTTCCACGTGGTTAGCTCGTGTAGAGCGACTTCATCGTGTTTCCGTAGAGGACACACCGGGAGTCCTCGGGATACTCTCCACGTATTGTTTTGAGATGTCCAGGCATCTATTCTTCCGAAGAGTACCGGTCTGGACTGACATGACTCAGTGATAATGAAATCCTGATGATGGACTTGCGATATTGGACTTTTGCTTCCGCTGATAGGTTGTGGGATGACCTCCTCTCCGGGTAGGGTTCGGAACTTTTGGGAAAATTCTATAAATCGAGAGGAGAGTCTTGAGCTAATTATCGGCAACTCGATGCGCTCTGCTAGATATTCAGAGCCGCGGCGGATTGGAGTAAATAATAATTTATTAATTAAAGGAATTATTCTCCGCATTCGCTCCCAGGGCCGAATCGCTAGCCTACAGCATTCCCGTAGTATGACGGGCCCGGCCACCCGTATGACTCGCAGTAGGTCTCCGAGCTGGTGAGGACCCACGACGTATGTATGCGCACTCTGTGCCTCGCAATCCCCTACAGCTTTCCTCCGCGAGCTTACCAACCGCCCGGCGCAAAGCCGTCCGACCCCGCCTCCGCTCCTCATTTCCCTCCTTGCTCCCGTTCTTAGCGTGTATCTTAAATTCCTCCGGGTGTTTTGCAAAGCAGGACACGTATTTCCGAAGCCGAGCGGGATTCGCAGTCCGCATTATCCTACACATTGAAAATCTCCCCCCGAAGCTGCTGAATGTCTGCCCTCCACCATGCCTGCTCCATGTCATCCGATTGACTCTCTCGCCCGCTTTAATATTCCTGCGCAGCTAAAACGCTCGCCGTCGACAGGGAAATTTCTTGTAACGAAGTTTAGCCGTTCCTTGAGCATCTTCACGGCGCGGCGCGTCGTTGTCGAGACGGAGACGGAAGAGGTACGAGAGGATCAGGCGAAGGAGGGGGGAGGCGATGTATATCGATGCACGGGAATTGTTTTTTGGGTACCAAGTTCAGACGAATTTCGAGCGGTTGAGAAACAGGAAAACGATTTTATTAGCTCGGTTCTTTCACAGCGCCGGTGCCGCGCGAGAAAAGTTTTTCCAGCGATCGACTCTTCGCAAACGAAGCGAATTGACTGACTGTGAGTCTCGATAAGCAGCCGCGTTCAACTTCGGGGGAGAGAAGTACCGGGCTAGCCTGATGGTTTCCCGAACCGCAAATCATGCAATCCGGCGAGACGAATCACCAGAAAGACAGCGATGCGAGCGGAGATCCGCCCGGGGCTTCGTCAAGAGCTCTCGATTCCCGAACAACAGTGTATGTTGATTGGTTTGTAGCGCACCGTCTTGCACTTTCACCCGTTTACTTACTCGGCCGAACAAGCAATCCGTGGACAAATTGATATGTAAATTGTGAAACGCACGAAGCCAACTCCACACTCTCGCTCGCGGTCCCCCTGGGTGTCTGCTCAATGGCTGCCTGGCTGTCAGGCCGCATCGGTCGCTCACGCGGCCAGCTTGTTCCAGCGAGAGCTCATCTTGCTGAATTTGGCAACTCAGTACTTACTCCGACTGAATTGGGAAGTTTTTTCGGCGAGGGGACAAGAAAGCCTGCCAGCCAGCGAACGAACTCTGTAGTTTATTTTTGCCTATGCGCTTATTGTGCAGTCTCCTCCCTCGCTTGAAGATGGCGGAGCGGTCGTTGGAGAGCGGCGGCGTAATCACGGTAGTGGCCTCAGTGAAAGCGGTTATGAAGAAGGAGCGTGTTCTCTCAGTTCTTCCTCCATTCGTTTTTCCGTCCGTCTGTCCGTGAAACGCGGATGGATGGGCGGCGAGTCGGCCTGCGAAGTAGATAATTACTATGCCATGGCTTTGATCACAGCAGCGTGAGACAAAGACCAGGACAGAAACGTCCGCTCCTTCGGCTGAGGAGAAAAAACATTTTTGCTCAATATCTCGCCCGGCTCGAAAGCTACTTGTCTTCATTTATAGCCGCCGCCGCCGCGCGGTGGACGAGGGTCCACGCGCGGACAGTGACGAAGCAGACCAGCGCTGAACGCTTTTACCAGAGAGTAATGGTAGTGCCGGTAGACCAGTGAGCCATCCGACTGCCACAGATTTCCTCCTTCAGTCTCATTGCTCTATACGTTATACGGTGGGAGAGCACCGCTGCGGAGCAAGCTGCCCCGTGAGCGCGCATACCGATGCGCTGCTGAGCTACATCAGCCGGTCCGACAGCGAGACGACCGACCGACCGCCATACGTCTCTCGAGGAGCTTAGTGCTGAGATGTTGACTTTCCTTCCTTCTTAAGGCATTTTTTCCCGCTCGTGGAATACATCTTTCTCGTCCAGCGGCCCGCAGAGCTTAGCTCCACAAGGCTATGGCCAGGATAACGTCAGAGGAACCGGTAGAAGTCTAGCTGGCGCCCGCAAGTCGGTCCGAGCCCTTCCCGTCATACCGCACGATCGACGGGCTACGTGGAGCAGATTTATCGAGGGAGAGCGTAGCTGAAGGGTTTTTAAGGTTTGCGTCATCATTCCGCAGCGGGGCTATCGTTCACAAGTTTGACGTGTGCGGTAGGGATCGTTCCCCCGGGACCTACGGAGAGGGGACGTTGCACGGGCTAATGGAACTTAAAACACTCCTGGACATCTCTCAGGCGAAACATCATCGGTGAGGGGAGGATTCGTGAGAGTACGCTCCCGGCTCGTATGTCAAACATTTTCTCCAGAGACTGCCGGCACTGGAGCGGCTTGATCTTCCGGTCCGATCACGAAGTTCCACTGTATTGGCGAGAAAGTTTATCAGACTTGAAAATGATTCTTGGAAGCTTGGTGTTTTTTATCGTTCGGATTCAGTGCGGATGTTCCAGACACCGCTCCCTACTGAAAGCTGTTGGTGGGGTAGAATCAAATTGGTCGAACTATACTACGCTGAGAGAAAAAAAACCTTCGAGCTGCCTCACTGCGCCGGTGTCGGTTCCCTGTGGGATCCAATTTCGACGACTTAACCCCACCCGGCGAGCTACGGGATGTAAGATTAACATGCCGTACTACGAAAAGTCTTCCTCCCGTAAGTTCTGCGTGTCCGAGTGCCCGAGCGCTGCGGATGCTTGAGGTTTCAGGACACTTCTCGCAGAACTTCGACTCGCGACTCTAGGCATCACGTTAATAATTATTCAGATCACCCCGTGCACCGATATCGACCGGAGGGTACTCATCGAAGAACGCGGGGACCGAGAGACGATTCCCTTTACCGACTACGGGGAAGCGTAGCAATCGTGTTAAATGGATTTAAATTTGTAGCATTGCAGAAGATACGACTTTTCTCTCCTTGTTCTTCCCCGAGCTCTGTATTCAACATTCGAAGAAGCGGCGAAGAATTCGCTCCCGGGCAATCAATATGTTACCTCCGATCCCAAACGAATTCCACCGCCCACAGCGGTGACTGGCAGGGGGAATTCCACCTTCATTGAGCGCTCCCGACAATCCGTTCACAACTCCCTTCGAATGACGTTAGTCGAGTATTCATCAACCATATTTATCGAATCGTTTACAACTCTGCGTGATGTAAATCGAATTTGCCCGGTGATAAATTTCTAGGCTCGGCTCTGTGTGACCAACGCGGCGGCAATCTGGTGGCAAGCTTCGTCTTGACGACGACCGCGACGGGTGGCTTAACAGATTAGGTGGGCGGGAGAATTTGACATCAGGGGAAGCGTGAAGGCGTTACGCTAAATTACATTCCCTGAATGGTTCCAGAGCGTCTGCAGACCACGATTAGTCGCACGAGCTGCTCATCAAGACTTTTCATCACTTCGCTCCGGGTAGATTTCGGAGAACATGGATCTTTTCTGTAAGATAAACATTCCAGAGATCGGAGATTCGAGTGAGAGATGTCCAGCACGATTCCTGGAATCGAGATTAACTCCTGGGCACTTCTTGTCTTCCGCTCGACAGTGGGCAGGATAAAGCTCCAGAGAATTCCACGGTGCTTCCATCAGACGTCGCCGTACGCGTTCAGTGCGGAGTCCTGCTCGACTCGGGGAACAGGTACCGCAAGTCATGTCGGGAATATGAAATGTGTAACCATACGCTGAAAGATTACCCCCAACATGAATAGATCAAAGCCTTCCGCTAAGCACTCGAAGATAGAATCCCGGTCCTCTCGGATTCCTTTCTTACAAGAAATTCGCGAAGCTCTCAAGGTACTGTGCCTCGCACTTCCAATACGGCTTTTCATGTCGAACACGCCTGCCTCAGTGGAAGAGCGAAATTGCACCGTTAGTGGCGAGCCATCCGTGAAAGCAAAAGTGTCATAGACAATTGAGCGAAGAAAGATAGGAAAGCGGGCGAAAAGGAAGCTCGCGAAAGAGGGTGAACCAATCGTTCCGATGGACAGAAGTGGATTCCCCAGAGCGGAGAGAGCCTAAGCGAGCGCGAAAAAGCCACCAGCTGAAAAGAAGAAGTCCTCTACTCGATCATGGGCGCCCAGCAATCGGAGTGTGAGCCGTGACCACCGAGCTCGCTCTTGTCGATTGAAATCAGTGCCCCCCGACAAAGACCACAAATCTCACAGGAAAGTAATTTCTCTCTCTGTGAGGCTGGACTAAAGAACTGATCACGATGAGACTGAGGAGAGATTTCATCTTTAGCTGACCGGGTGAGAGTTGAATTTTTCCGATTTTTCTTAGATGATTCGAGGATGCACCCATCGAATCATTCTCGACGATCCCAAGAGTCTCACTTTCTTCAACGCATCTCCACAATCGAAAGAGGTACCAAATACGATAGGTTCTGCAACAAAGCGAATTATGTCTCGGGGCTCGGCCCCGGAGTGCGGTGGATATGTTTAGTTGGATATAATGCGGCTGTCACTCGATTCCAATCGTGTTGCTATTTATTTATGGAGATCAACGGAAACCATCTTCAAGCGTTGCTGGTGCAAGCCCCGTAGCGGAAGCACTGGGCCACATTGAACCCGATCACGTTTCTGTAATGAGCGGACATAGCACGCCGTAGGCAGAGAAACGAAACGACAGCAACGACCGTCTACAGCTGCTCTGCCGACTCTCTCAGCTGCAGACCTCGACATAACCGAATGCCACTGACAGAGACCTGAGCTTTCAGCACCGCGTCCAATCGGATCCCACTACACCCTTGCTTGCGAGCCAACAAGCTACCCAGATCCGCCAGCATGAAGCTCTTGCCCGAAAACCCCTTCTCTCCTTGGACCATCTGAAAAGCATCTGGAAGCTAAATCAAAGCGACAGAATGCGCGAAATCTGATTTTGTAGCATTCGACGCCTGACCTAGCTGCTGAGGGACGATCGACATCACGATCTCACGACAGAAGGAATACATTAAGTGGATCGCGCAGAGAATTCCAGGCTATTTGAGCGCCCGACGGAGGTACCACCCAGAGGGTCTTTGTGAGTTTCCGGTTTTCGTGGACCACGATGATAACGAGGACGACCAACAGTGCACGAATCTGAAGTCCTCATTGTCTGATCTCCCCTTGGATTTCATGGATATCGCAGCAAGTGATAGAATCCAACATCATCGTCATCACAACGTAAGCTCTAATGATGTGTCCAATGACCTTGGCGTAGTTTGTTTCCGCGTGATATCCTTCTCAAGCACCTGGGGAAGCATCTTCACTGCGGAGCGCTCCGGTGATAGTTCAACTTCACCGCGTCTTCCCAGAATGAAGATGTTAGGTATCTTTCGTCGGTTGAATGAAACTTTCCGGCGAAGAGCAGCGAAAGCTCGTTTTCAAGTATGATCAGAAGTGGTCAGTGTCAACCAGTAGCTAGCTGATTACAGTCACCTAATCGGCATACTGTAGGGTTCAGAAGAAAGATCCGGCTTCTGCCGTGACGAGCCACGAGTCAGACATGAGCCGATTACCCCATTGGAAAGTGAAAATTTATGGCGTTCGTTTCCACTTTGCGCAGGAAGGGCGCGCGACGTTCACCTTTTGGAATGAGCTACAGCATCGACACGCCACGATACCGTTCACGCGTGGCAGTGTTTTCACTCGTCTTGATCTTATCATACGCAGGTCAGTGCGAATAAAAACACAGGGTTAATTTATTTATGGGATTAAACTTCCGCAACGAAATTTCACCTGGGCAACCGCTTGCGCGAATGAGTTCGCGTGCAAATGGTAGCCTCGGAGAAGTCGCTCGCCTACACGTGTCATCATCTTCATAGAAATTGGCTTTGATCCATTCAGAGGTATCGAAGGCGTAATTCGGAGTCAAGATAAATACAGCAACCAAAATCCAAATTTATCTCCGTGTGAAACCACTGCTGTTCACATCGCGAGATAAGACGGTCGTCTCCGCCGACTTCCTACTCACTGGGCTCACATTGAGCACGAGCGAGTCTGATCTTTGACAGCTAGGATTCATTCTTCTTTGGGCGCGAAAGTGCAACGTCAAACCGCCATGGTGGCCTAGGGAGATTGAAAACTTGTTCTTGCCAAGATCTGACAGCTAGGTAGTCTTGACAGTTCCCTGAGGATCAGCAAACGAGAAAAATTACTCCGAGCTGAGGTTTCTGTGGCCGAGTCAACGAGCTCGGTGGTTTTATGCGGGCGGGCAACTATCAGGAAGCGAAGAAGAACTTTGTCGGAGAGCACAATAGAGCGGCGTTTCAGGGTCCCCTATGGATTGCAGTGTTCCGTCTGGGATTCCGCGCACTGAAAAAAATCGTCTTGCTGCTCATCGGCCCATTGTCATTATGTCATTATACTTCGCTCAAACATTTGCTCTGGAGGGAGGGCACCGAAGAATCCGCGAGGTGATTCTTTCCTCGGGACTCATATCTGGCGGTTATTACCGTCGGTCCACTTCGTTCGAATTTTGAGTCTAATTCACGAATTTCCGGAATCCGTCCATTCCGATTGACCGAATACTTCTAACGAGGGAAACTCCCACGATTCTCTCTAGAACTGGTATACCCAGCCCATGGCGGGAACGATGCGGCTAACCCCGAAGCATTCATGCATCCGGTGAGTGCTTGCCTTTGCCCATTGACCTCTCGAGAAGAGCCGAACGGACTGAATTCCTCATGATTTTGGATGAAGTGAATTCATTTCCCTCCCAAATGCGATACGAGATGCATTCATCCCCGGTATTCCGAAACATTCGAATTTGATTTAGGCGTGGAAAAATTTATGAGGATCTTGTTGAAAGTTTCCGCGATCACACAGATTTCGATGATCACTTTCTACGGGTATCCAGCCGAGCTTCACCAGGTAGTGACAGCGGACGGTCATTTATTGGAGGTGCATCGCATTCCTGGATACAAAGGCAATCGATCGGTTCCGGTCATCCTTCAACATGGTATCGCGTCGTCATCTGCCGATTTTCTGGCGAATCAACCTCCAAACAATTTAGGTGAGAAACAATCGAGGGCAAAGGCATTCGTTTCCAGCGTCGGACGCGTGGAAATCGGGCCGCTCTTCCGCAACCACTCACCGACGATGAGGTGATGCGCCCACTCCCGAATAAGTGAATTATTCGAAGCTTCCCGTCTCTGATGAATGGAAGGAAATTATCGCTTATGAACATTGGCCACGATCGCCATTAGTCAGGAGTCACGAACTCGTTGTATCATCTGCGGGAGAAGATCTTGTGATTCGACTCCGAACCTTCTCTATGGAGGGCCAGCGTTCTAATCGGCCGTGAATCATCACTGTGGAAATCACTGGAAAAATCGAATACTGAGCGTGAATCGATGCCAAACGAAGATGCTAATTTTATTTATCCGAAGCCTGCATGCTCTGGGATCACGGATATGACGTGTGGATGTCAAACACTCGAGGAAATCGCTACTCGACGTATCATATGCAATACGACCAGGAGGACCCCCGAGTCTGGGATTTCAGGTGAGCTAGCTCAGTCCAGCGAGGACTTCGGGTATATTTTTCGCCCCCGACCAACAACATCCGTATTCAATGGAGACCGACCTTCCTAGTCATGAGAGCTGAGGCTGTAGGAACGCTTCGCCGTAGTTCAGTCTGAAAACGATAGATTTTTGTTGCCAGCTTCGACGACATGGCGAAATTCGATCTTCCCGCCATTTTCTCGTATGTGAAGGGAAACACAAATTTCGCCCGTGTTCACTACATAGGTCACTCCCAAGGGACTCAGTCTCTGTTCGCTCTGCTTTCGACACGACCAGACTTTGGTCAAAACGTACGTCATGATGCTCGCGAATAATATCTGTAGGAATTTCTCGGATTGATGCCTGAAGATACCCGATGGATAAGCTGATATCGAAAGCTCTTCGAACGCTCGTCGTCAGATAGCATTCCCTTTCAAGATCCGGTTATTCACCGCCCTGGCACCGGTAGCTGCGGTCCAGCACGTTACGACGCCTTTCATAAGAATCCGGAACTTTTTTCCGCTCATACGAATGATGAGTCCGAACGGGCACATTCGAGCGTGGAATCCTCGCATCAATCCAAAACTAGCTAGGCTTTGCCAGCGGAGCCAAAGGTCTCAACATGCGTGCTCATACATGACTGATCTGATCTACAGACCAAACAGAAAACAGCAGGACAGAGTGAGTGTTCCGTGCCACAGTCTCGATATCCCGACCTCGTCGACTGGGGGGCATCAAATTTTGCCCGGATCCACCAGAACGATTTCTCAACGTTTTCGTATGCCCACAGAGTCGCGCGGACGTGTACTTCTCGCATTATCCAATGGACACCTCGGTAAAGAACGGTGATCATCTGCTGCAACTGGTTGATAACGGAGGCTTCGCCATGTTCGATTATGGGAAGGAAGGGAACCTGAAGAAATACGGTGTTGTGAGTACTAGCGTCTGATTGCTCCCTGCCTGCTGTCTTTGAGAAGTTATCAGATCGTGAGCCAGATTCCCTATTCGCGGAACACAGTTCAGTTGTTTGAGACCCGATTCCAGCCCTATGCTCCACGATACCCGCTGCACAAGATCCGAGACGTTCGGATAGCTCTGATGTTTGCTCAAAATGATAACCTGGTCGAGATCCAGGACGCCAATTTCCTCCTGCGGAGTTTGCGATCCGACGTGCTATACGATGTATGTACGCTCATAAACTATAATATCATATGTAGTATAACGAACATTTCGCTGGCGTTAATTCTCTCATACGCCAGGGGAGCGATATTCGACTTCGAGAGGAACCTCTCGGAGGGCTCTGGCTTCTCTGACTCCCATTTCTCATAATCTCAAGCCGAAAAATTCTGTTTCTCTCCGATTGAACGCTCACGGGACGGATTTGCCGGTAGTCCGAACTATATGAAATTTTCCTGATGTCAGATTCTGATTGATTTCAGGTTTATACGGTGCCAAAAGACCCTCAGTTTACTCACGTCGATTTTCTGTGGGGGATACAAGCTCGAGTGGTCGTATGGAATCGAGTCGTCAAGAACATGATCGATGTAGATCGTCTCGAAGAGTCTGCCACGTCCCTCGAGAATGGAGTCTCCCTAGCCTCCTACGGTGACTTCAACCATTTCGATAGATGACCATCTCGAAGTCGAGTCATCGAGCATCAATCAGACGCGTGTGAAAGGATTCTCTGGCGACCACCGAACTGTCGATCGTTTTCTAGTCAGTGTTGTGAAGCTGCCCAGTTGATCCGTCCAAGTAGTCAATTTTTCTAATTTTGTTTGTTCGCCTGTCTGAAACCTTCTTAGGCTAGCCGCCAATTATTCTGGAATACAGTCAGAAATTCGTAGTTTCCACAAAAGCTTCAATTGTTGAGTACTTCCGTGGGCAAAAAATGAAGCGATGGTATTTCATTTCCAATTCGAATGGAGTCCGCATCGTGATTCTACCTCCGTCGTTCCCTATGAGCCTCCCATGCGGCAAACCCCACGTCATCGAGTCCGGGCTTCACATGAGATTTCACAGAAACGTTGGCGGGAGAAGGATTTCATTTATCCGCCACACCTCCGCAGGTCCCGACAGGTCTGATTCTATTCGTAGCTGAAAACCGCGTACACGTGCTATCAGCGGCTCTTTTTCGAGGGCGATATAAGACACGTATTCCGACAGTCGGGAGCTAGTTATGAAATCCTCGTCTTCGCTCGTCCAATAGCAAAACTTCTATGCCGCTTGGATGGAACGCGGTCGGAGTTCCCGCTCTTGGCTGGTTTAGTGAGATAAGCGCATGGGATTCAAGGGAAATGAAAGTCTGTTTTGCGAGGGTACGGCGAATGGTTAGTCGGGGCAGCTGGCTTGCAGGAAAAGCGAATCAGGGGTCCAGGGCCCCGAAAACGCTTACAGGGCTTGAGGAGGAAGTTAGAGAAGTAGAAGCAATTGGGTTTATACGGCGCGGTGATGGCAACCACGGTGGCCGTGGCGCGCAAGAGCAGTACGAGTATTATATGGTCATTGGGGAAATCTTCTACTCTTTTACAGCTCCAACTCGGCTGACTGGATGCGTGGTCGCTTGGATGACTACTTAGTGGAGAATCGTACAAACGGGCGGTGGCTTAACCAGATTTATGGAAAGATCTTCAAACTTCGTAAAAGTGGATTACACGGGAATGGAGCAGAAGCAGAGGGCAGAAGATTTTGGGGAACGAACTCGGGGTCGCGAGAAGGAGCAGCCACTCGCCTCAGCGGACTCCATCGAGCATCAGTCGCTTCCAGGCGCTTGCTGTCGAAGCTTCAATTGGTCTCTCGGTGTTTGAACGATTTAGCCTCCCTCATTTGCCTCGGTAATGGACTTCCGATCCGGAAGATCTACCTACCCGAATTAATGCGATAACAAAGAAAACCATGACGCAAGACTCGGAGCCGAGCTGTTGCATGACTGCGGAAGTGAATTCGAGTTCGATGAGAGCCTCCATGCGAGCCTCATTGATGAAAGTCATCTTCACGATTGGATCCTTGAATCCCGTGCGATGATGATAATGGAAGCCGGCAAGTCGTGAAATTCTCGCGGCAGCTCACAGAGTGGATCCGACTCCATGAGATTATCTTCTCTCCCTGACTGTCTTCAACAGCGTTCCTGCGTAAAAGTGGTCGGACATCTTATTTAAAGCCGGAGACTGACAGCTCCTCTCGAAGTACGGTCTGAAAACGACGAGAGTGATCTGCTCCCCGAATAAATACGTGGCTGGGGGACCGATGTACCAAGCGAGACGAGAGGGGAGTGAGCTTCGCTTCCTCCCTGAAAAACCGGGGGAGAAGTATTCGTTTAAGGAGTCGACGACCTACGCTGCGTCGGGAAGCACAACAGCTCCGAAGTGGTCGAACGCCCTCCAGTGTCCTGAATTCAAGATTGTTCCTGAGCAGCAGCGGCAGCGAGAAAGAAAGTAAAAAACGGGACCTCATAAAAAAGGAATAAACCTCAATATCGCTCTGATGGTATTTCGGAATTGCCTCGAATTTCGTTGAGATCTCCCCAGAGTGAAGTTGTCGTCGTCGTTGTCGTCGTCGCCGCCGCGAGAGAGGAAGATGTGTCCTGCACGGGGCCGCGGCGGGGTGCGTCGCAGGACTCTGTTCCGAGAGTCGAGAGTCTTGCTAAGAATTCAGAACATTTTCCGAGCTGTTAACTAAATCGGGAGAGATAGGAGAGAAGCGCGCCGTGGCAAGCGAGACCGAGACGCACGGCCAAGTCTCTCCCACTGGCAAGTGACTCGCAAGTCGCTCTTGAGCGGCCTGTCGCTCGCAGACGTACGTAATGGCACAGAACGCAAGGTACAAGCGGTAAAGAGTCTCTTGCGAACATGGGAGCAGCTGCAGTCGACATTAGACTGCGACGCAAATTATTCCATAGGTACGCAGTTGCGTCGCCAGTTTTCAGTGACCCAGTCCCAATGAGAACGCGGCCCGTCAGCGGAAACCGCTGACGAAATCATTTGGAAATCGAAGTATCACCGTTCGGGTGCGCAGCTCCGCTCTGGAACGAGATCGCGGACTTAATGCCGCGGTACTACACCTCCGCCTTTCTCCAGGACGAGGCGGAGTTTTTGCATGAATTCAATGAGTCTAGTCGCTGGAACCGCGCCTCGCTGACTTCGAACACATGTGAAATCGACCTAGAAACCTCGTTAGGGATCTTTACCCTCCCGGAAGTTAGGGACCATTCCAGCTCCCGCCATCTCGAATTCTGCCGAAAGGGGAAGCGACGGTCCCGTCGATCGGAAGCTGAATTCTCCCGTTTTCCTCCCAAGTCAATATCTCCGGAGCGGTCTCCTCGAAAAACTGAGCGATTCCCATCAATAATTCTGCGCGAGAAGGGATCCGAGAGCAGAAAGAATTCAAGGAGTGGAGACGAGTGCGGAATCTGAATTTTTATCCTCCTGCCGACGCATAAATCTCTCCCGGAGAAGTTCGAACTGGGGTCTTCGATCTGTGCGATAGGTGTCGCCGAAATTCGTCCCAGGGGTTGGCTCAATCGTTCGAATGTGACTGTAAATATTTTATAGTCCACTGTCCACGATTGTCTGAACTCCCCGTCGATTTCTCGTGCCCTCCCAAGCAATCTCCAGCCGGCTCTTCTCGGCTCCTCATTTGGACAATTGTCCGAAATGGTCCACCCAAGACAAAACGCTCGGCCTGTGTAACTGACGAGATTGCATCCCAATGGAGTTGGAGGTAAAGAAATCGCCCGCTCAGAGTTATGGCGTCTGAAGCAATCGCTGTTCGCACACTCTGTGACTTACAAGCGCTCACTATTACGGTTTCCCAGCTAACATTCACTCGGGCTCGGAGAGAGACAGCCGGAGGTATCACGGCGAAATCCCTCGAGACAGATATCTTTTGGCTTTTAATTTGCTATCGCATCGAATCTCCTAAATTGCGAGGCAGAGCCGCTGAGCGAGTCCGCCGCAGTCGATTCGTCTTAATAGAGCTGCGAGCTCACTGCGTTCTCTGATCTCACTCGAGTCGGTGTAGAGCGGGCTCACGCAAAAAAATATTCGACCATTCACTCAGATGCAATCGAGAGATAACGCGGGAGCTCCGGGTCTCTGCACCGGGGTGATGCTATCGATGTGCATCTACTACATATCTATCTGCATTCGGCATGGTAGGGAAACCCACATGGACAGTTGAATCGTTCGCTTGAGAAAACGGCGAATCACAGCGAGCGCTTGCTCAATTCGGGCAAACGTGGAGCTTGCATTGCTCAACCGTCGAGCCGGAAGCAGGTTGAGCTAGGAAACACTATTAGGATCTGTGGATTTGAGCAGGGAGTCGCTTGTTCGCTCGGTACTCCTCCGGCACGCTCGGTCACGCGGAAGGGAAAAACGTCGAGAGGGACCTATTCCCAGTCTCAGCTCTAAACTAATTGAGGACAAACCAGAAGCTTCAGATACTCTTGGTATTCGAGGCACAACGCTCAGTGCTGTGGACTCGAAAACCGACGAGGATAAGGAGCAGTGCGCAGTCAAAGAATCCACCACTTCGCCAATCGGAGCGACGCTTCGAGTGGATAGTGCGGAGGGGGCGAACGCGCTCCGCCTACTGAGATTCTTAGCTCAGATCGTCCGTTCCGGAGAACTCGATGGCCCGTCAGCATGACTCCAACCGTTCGGAAACCGGAGGAACCGCGGGATATCCCAGAAGAAGCTTGGGGACAAACCGTCGGAGCCATACAGAAAATAAGAACGGATTCACCATAATTCAGTTAAGGCATCCTAGCGTAGACTTCTAACTCCTCTGACGTGCGTCGGGACTATCGAGGACCGCACAGTTACGCTCCGAAGGCCGCAGCTGTGACCGTACGTGGATCTCAGCCAAGAGAAGCCGAATATTCTGCCTTACGGGAGTCGTACCTCGAGCCCTGGGGCCGTCGTAGGTCAAAGCCTCTCAAAGAGCGGAAAGCACCGCGGAACTCATGCGAAGTTTCTTCTCTCCACGAATATGAATGGAGTTGCTCGGACAAAGAACGAGGATAGCAATCCAAGTCGTCTCCGGCTCTTATCTAGGCTTCAGCCATTCTCAATGGCTGTAAGTACTCGATGACGAGAGCGTCTGTCGAAGAGAATCCGAAGCGTCCAAACAAAATCGTTGCCCCATGGGATTGTCGATAAAAGAAGGCGAGTTCCGCCGCGGAAAGCGCACATCCATGTAAACCGTATCTGGCGTGAGCGGAAGCGATTGCGGACGAGTATGGATAGCGGCGATAGCATCGCGAAACTTTTGAACAAAAGTTTCCCCCTGGAACGGCACTCTGAGCGTTGGGAGAGATTAATTGAATGGATTTTCGAAAGCTTATTTTTTTTTCTGCCATCACCGACGACAGTGGAGCGACGGAACTCCACCGACGCGGCGACGGGAGAAACAACGGCTTAGTAGAAAATGCCGGCGAGAACTTGGCTCCGCGACAGTCGCTCCCGGGAATCGGAGAATCATTCTCTGGGATAGCGCGCCTTCGAACCACATAGAATTCCAGACTCTTTGAAGTCCACTGTTTCTCTCCGCAAGCGATTCCGCGAACGGACAGACGAGGGAAGCGAAAGTGTAAATGTTTGTATAAAAATGTACAGCGGGCGAGTGTTTCGGGATTAGAGTATCGGTCTCCTCCGAATGTGATCGGGCAGCTAGCCAGCTTCTCGCTCTTCGTTCCATTAAGGCACAGCTTGCCGATAAAGCGAATTCCTTGAAACAAAAAACTTGGCTGTGGAAGAAGAGGAACTTCTTGAAGTGGGTGATCAAACATTCGATGGCAAAAAATCACAATGCCGAGGATCGACAGCGAGGAAGAGACATCCCCGTAGCTGCCAGATGTATTCACCCTCCCCGCGAAGAGAAGGCGCGCCTTCGAACAACGCGGCACCCTCACAGGATGTTGTAGTACGCTAATGTGTCGACATATATGACTCACAGTAGAACCCGCTTCGAGGGTACGAGCGGGATATCCGCTGAAGACATTTTGAGCATTCTCGATTTTAAAGATTTTCGAATCAATAATACCCTGGGACGTCACATCCTCTGCCTTCGTCGCCATTGTCTAATACCCGACGAGTGCGGAGCATGAGGGCAGAGCGCCGGCAGCGGCACCGGATGTCAAAAATATTCAAATTTCACAAATGCACCACCTCCTGAGTTTCGGGGCTCTACGACACTTCGCACCTCGCGATCAGGAAGGTTCGGATCCGGGAAAAAAGACTCGTTCGTCATCATCCCATCGATTAGTTCCGAGCCGATTCGACTCTGAGAAGCTCATGCTCAACTTTGACGTCCGTGCATTTTGAACACTTGAATGTGTTTGCACAGAACCTGCGCGGAAGGGCCTGTTCCCTTCCGACAGGCAGGAGTATGAAGGCTTCAGAAATTCGCCACAGCTGTCGACCGCAGGACTTCAGGAGCTTCGCACGGAGATGACTCGAGCTGAAATTTAGATCGCAACATGACTCTTCCCGTGCGAAACTTGGTAGCCTGACCGAACCATCTGTCCAGCCGCGGGCTCGCCCGGGATTATCGACGTCAACTCCGTTGTTGAGTCATGGACGCCTCTTACCGAACTTATTCATTTCATCGTTGTTCCCGGGAGCCCGGCGTAAACCATCGGCCGGAGGAGCCATCATGATACCGAAGACTCCAAATGGAAAGGACCGCATGAGTATTCAAGCATAAGCCGGGTCGGGAAACTCCCCGGCTACGGTTTCACCACAGAGCGCGAAGCTCCTCGACCTTGCTAGTAATGTCTTGTTCTCGACGGGCAGCATCAAGTTCAACGATACATCTCGAACAGCCAGCTTCCTTCTCCCTCGGCCCGCAACTGCGCCTCAGTCCTCTGAATTTGCTTCATCGAATATCGCATTTCGAGAAGGCGCCTTGAATCTCTTGACGACGCGAAATCGTTCTTCTTTCATCCGGATAACTCGCGCGTATCTGCGAGAAGCGCGCCTAGATCTCTCGGGATTTCGTCACCGTGTGATATGGGAGCAAAACGAGCAAGATTTCCTAGATCTCGGAAATATACGGTCGATTCTGGCTCGCACGTCTCAAATTGTACCGGCTGCCGGCGTGCACTCAGGGTACCTGGATACTGAGGACTCTCGAGTCGGACTTAGTAAATTCTCCTTTGAGGGAAGCTCTGCAAGTACTTTCTCCGAGAAACATCCCGTTTGTCTCAGGGAGAGAGCTCCGCGCGGGTTCGGCAACTAACGGATCTCCGGACCTGCCATGGGACGCTAACATCAAGCAGTCCACGTCTCACAAGCGAACGAGGTATTAGAAGAGTCGCTCGAGAAGGGTAAGTGGTCCCCATCTCCCAAGTCGGCTACCACGCAATGTTGCTCCCCGGGAAGGAATTATAAAAGATGAAGCAACGACGTGCGCAAGCTACCTAGCTGGAGAGACCGATCGAGAGGCAGACAGACAGACAAGCTGCCCCGTTGTTCGACCGAGCGGTCGGTCGAGGTACGCGCGCGGCGGACTCACTCCCGCAGCGAGATTGATACTAAATATATCCTGTCGGAGGTCCGGAACACAACAACAGCGAACAGTCACGAGGTCGGCCGGGAGAAAGGGAGCGCGGCATCCGCCGCCAGGATATTGAGCTGCGTTGCGACCTGGCTCTGAATGCCAACGAAGAACTGGGGCCGAGAGGATTTGGGATAGTGAATGACCACGGTCGGTCACCGGAGAATTCTGTCGTGTCGGGCGCGAAAGCGAAAAGAGAGTGCCAGAGATCGCTCTCCAATCAGAGCGAATCGTGAGCTCCCCTCTCGGACAACCGACATGGCAACTCCGCGTCGCATTCCGCGAAGGAAAGAAGTCGTCGAGTATACGCCAAGGCCGACGAGTATACTCTCGATAGTTTCCCTCTTTCAAGGAGGGAGCGAGATTTGCCCGGATCCTCGAATCATGCACGTCACTCAATCATAATCGAATAATAGGGAGAGGTCTCCATCGGGGAGTGTTGGGAAGTCAAAGATCTAAACATTGACAGACCAGGAACTACTTCAAGAGGGTCGAATTGGCGGTGTCGAATAACACGAGCGAGCCATCATATGGTCACGCTCGCTAGAACAGCAAAACTACACCAAAGAACAGAAAGCAATGAGCACTCAGAGTTCAGTCCCATCAGGGATCAAACGTGTCTTCGCAAGGGTGAATGGTCCGGCGGTGCTTTATTCGTGGAGCGGGAAACGTAGCAGGGACGCTGTCGGATGCTTCTGTCAAATTCTTAGCAGAGCTCACTATACTCCGCACTATGTGATCTGAACTTCCGAGCTGTTTCAGAGGAGCTGCGGAATCGCGCTACTTGCGTTTGCCTCGAGGAACGGCCCCGAAACTCACGACCGACCGGAGTACGTAAGGAACATGCCCAGGAATTTTTCTCGGAAGTCGAAAACAAGGCACGCAATAAATTGATTATTATCAATTTTACCTACAGACGAATCCGCTAACCTCGCGGAATAAAGAGATGGTTCACTGGGCACATAATTTGAAATCAGATCCTGCATAGGAGTACATTCTATCGCGAGTCCATTCGGGGGCAGCATGATGACGTTTCCTAGAACCGGCCACAAGATAGAACGGCATTATCTCATAGAGGCAACATATCTGCTCACATCCGCTCGGGTCTTCTGACTAAACGAGCTCCCCTCATGTACTTCCTATCGGACATCACCGGGATTCGCGACCGACGGAAGAGTTGAACAATTGAAGACTTACCCTATTAAATTTTCTGGGATTCAATAGCTATGGTAGCGGGGAACGATGAGAAAAAAGAAGGCGGGCATTCATATGAGGGCTCCGGTCGAATTTCCGTTGGACCCGGAATTCATTCTCCCAAATAAACGCGCCGGAGGGAGTTGGAGTCGATCCCCCAGAATTTCGCGGGAACGCCGGCCTGGCCGAGTTTCGGAAAGATTCAGTTCGTGATGTCTCACTCAGGGTAAGGAGAGGATCACATCACGCATCCCTGCCAGCCGCGGGCCTTAGGCTGCCGCTCGAGCAAGAATACATTTGCGTAGACCTTCATTGCGCTCGAAGCACCGTTCCGAACACCATCTGTATGCTTGTTCATTGAGAGATGAGTTCGACAGGGCAGATCGAACTCGTTCACACAGGTGTTTCCTTTTCCAATCATCCCTCTCGGCGGTGAATCGTTTTGCGGAAATTTTGAGCTCATTCCCGTTCGAAACCCTTCTTTGATCGAGGAACGACCAGCGTAAGTTGAACTCTGCGGCGCGGCGCCCCGAGTGATTCGCTAGGCTAGATCGAGATATTCCTAGGGGCTTCGGAAACCGAGAGAGCAAGTCCTCCGCCCTTTCCTGTGCGATCTCAATAAAATCCGAACTTCGCTTTCGACAGGAGCCCCCCCCCCCCCGTCTCCCTCCTTTACTCCATACAGCTTAGTCTTACCCCTCCGCGCTTCGATGGGTCTCGGATATCCGGACGATTTTCTCTAAAGGCATGGAATTTCCTCGAGCAGCTGCCGTCATGACTGATCGAGATAGTATTCGGAACGTAGATGAGATTCGATGACATGAAGAATGATATAGGATGCAACATCTATAGGAGAGCGACGGGTCTAGCACATGGATGAACTTTACACATCCTATTCGGAACTCCCAGGTAACAGATGGACCACCCTGCGGCACTACGGGTGTATCTTGCTGAGCATGTTGATCACGGCTGTGGAATGAGCTCGCTTTGAATGCGGATTGAAAAACTCGGTCTCTCTGGGCTGCGTATTACCTGAAGTCAGTCAGTCATCTCTTCGGCCCGGCCCAAAGATCACAGCGTTTCATCGAAGGAACTCTCTCTGAGTCGATCCGCTCATTGGTGAGTCTCTTTCGAGAGCTTGAGTTTTCGGTCTCGATAACTCAGAACAAGAGCGACGACAATACATAGGTATCAGGTCCATCCAGGAGCCTATTAGCGTTCGACGATTTATCGCTCTTGAAGAGCGAACTTATTCAAGAATCAATGAGCCGTATTCGATGCGGCTTCGGCGAACAATCGGCAAAGACAGCGCTGAGTTCACGGCGCAACTTTCGGCCGCGTTCTCGATGTTTGCGGCTCGCGTTGATCACTGCCGAACGATCCCTTCATTGTTCGAGGGGCAACAGTGCACTGAGTCAGGCTTAAGCCCCAATCGAGCGATCTCCTGTGATGGGAAGCCAGGGGTACTCATGAATAGTCGAAGCCTGAGGCAGTTCGAGGACTTTTCATGGCTCGAAGCTTTTGCGTGACACCAGGAAGTACCAATCTCATTTTCCACAGGCGAGGAGCTTGAGGTCCCCGCTCTATGTGATGTGGCAGTCCATTTCAATCGAAGTCAACGAGAAACTAGGAAACTTGGCTCATCCCGCAACATGCGATCCCAAGATTCGATGGAATTTCGTTGATGGGAATCGATTTTGTGAGGTGTCCATGGCGTGACAAACACGCCTTCCGGATCGCGCTCCGCCCATACATCGGCGCGAGATGCTGAAATACATCGATTCCTTGATCAGACGTTTTTACATTATTGGTGTGTGCTGAAGGAGCGCTACCACCTCCAGACGATATTCCCACCGCGTCCGCTGGGTGCCTATCACGGTGAAAGCTCGAGTGTATGAGCTGATCTTATTCGGAGCAATTCCGGAGTAAAAGAGCGATATCGTCTTCGGAGTTTTCTCAGCTCGGTGTACCCACAGGGATTTGGATTCCGTAGGTAGCCATTGGAGTATACCGAGCCAGATTATTGAGCTACACCAGAAGGAGTGCTTGGAAACAGCCAGAGCCTGTCGGCAATCTTTGAGGAGAGGGCTGAATACTTGAGGGAGGCTTACCGGCTATTTTCCGACCGGCGTTGTTGACCCGGGGAGTTCCCAATCCTGTTGGATACGAAAAACGCCGGTTTTGGCTTCCAACATCGACAGGTGAGTGGTGCACGTTCTACTCTTCGTGACTCCTGGCCGAGCGAAGCAGAACGTGTGAACAGCGTGTCGGACGTCAAACGGACCATACTCAAGTGACGCTCAGAGCGGAACTCGCCGTCTTCCCGTGCCAAGTCATGCATCATCAGACTCGCTTCTCTAGTCCTCTGAAAACACCGGTGACTTTCTCGATTGGTGCAGATCACGGGGCTGTGCAGTCCGCTCCGGGACCTTGAAATCAGGTCGATGAGTGTGTGTCGGAAATCAGCGGCCCTCTCCGAGGATCGCGAGAGATACATCAACTGAGACGTCTCTTAAGGGAAGAGACTGAGTATGTTCGATGCAGCGTGATTCTCTTCTTCGGCCGAGTCTAAGCACCGCCGAGCTGAAATCTCCGTTTCAGCGAATGAGATCTCCGATGAATTTCCTTGAATGATCTTGCATCCGCTTAAGATTTCACCCCAACGAATCCTCCCAGAACGCTCCCACCGTGGTATTTCGCGAGATTTTTTCGTTCGGGGTGTTTGCGATTTTCGAGCCTCGAATTGGCGGGGAAGCGGCTCTGCCTCTTCCTCGGACTCCACTGTTGTAGCATCCAGCACTCCGATTTCCGTCTCGGCGATAACTGCTTGAACCCTCGGCCCGATGCACGGTTGCCGTTTCTTCTAAACCCCCTCCCCTGTCGAGATCTGCGAGAACGGTGGAAGAAATCACTTTCCTCCATTCGGATAAACGATGCGTGATCAACGAATCTTAGACCATACATCGGTGTGACTTACGGATGCGTCGCTGCACAGCGAAAACTACTCATGGCTCTCGACAATCGTGGTGGGATAATAATAGTCATTGTGGTCGAGACCTGAAGCGAGGAAGCAGCTCCATCGACGACAGAGGGTGAAGAGAAACAGCTCGATCGGCAGAGCGTATTCGCTTCTCGCCCACGGAATCTCCCCAAAGGATTCCCGATGGTAGATCTCGATATGGGAATGTTGTAGTACATCAGTTCTACTTGTGACTCAAACGACATGACAAATCGTTCTCGGCGGTAGGCTATTCCGGAAATGATGGGAACACCTCTGCACCAGAACGCGGCGGCTCCCCGGCTACACGCCGGGGTCCTCCTGGTAGAAGCGAAATAGCCATTCACCATTATATGACTTGAAGTGGGCTTGGATGGCACGAGGAGGTCAGCAGATTGTAGACTTTTTCCCCACGCGAAAATCGACCCGACGAGTTCCTCCCCGCAACTGACTCTCTCTCAACTCTCCCTCGACGCTCGAACTCCCGTACCAGCAAGCAAGGGAGTTCACGAGGCGCTGATGCTTTTCATGCGCCGAGAAGGTCTCATGGGGCTCCAAGTCATTTTCGTGAATATTCGGAGGAAGCCTCAAGCCCTCGAGAATCGGAGCATGACTTCCTCTCACGATTCTCGAAGAGTCGATCTCTGGAAAAAGGGGGAGTGAGATGTAGGCGATCGCTGAGCGGGCCCTGTGCGTCGACCGATGGATATCCCGAATCACCTGGAGCGAGAGTTCCCTGATCGATTCGAGTCAGTCGCTTACCTTTAGTGTTTTGAATTCAAAAGCCAGCGAGTTTCTCGGCCTGCAGACTACAAGCAGCACTGTAGAAAGGAGCATGTAGTATAAGTACAGCTTGAAAATTCAGAAACCATTCGAACTGAGACGGGATAGTACTGTGCGCCGCGTCGTGTCCAGGACGCGGCGCGCGGCGCCATAGACTCTATGCTTAAGCGCGATGGCGCGCCGCGGAGATTTAGCATTGAGTCCATGGGACTTGAAATGCTCGGCTCACTGCTCTGCTCCGGGAGCATCGGGGAAGATAAGCCATCAGCGTCTGACGAGAAGGAAGTCTCTCTTGGTCTCCCTCTTCCGGCGATTAGATCCCGGAATACTTTCTTTTTCGCTGAAAGGGGACCGTCAAGTGGGCGTCGCCGAAACGCAAATCATTGCGTCTTTCTGGAATGTCGCATTGATGGTGAAAAGAGAATGATTCAGCGCTGTGTCGCTAAGGCTCGAATTGTTCCGTCTAAAATCTCGATCTTGACACGCGGAAGTCTCAGAAATGCTAGCTGAAGAATCACTTATTCAGTCGCTCGTGCACAGATATCGAGCCGAAATATCGATGGGCTCTTCTTTCAGTCGAAGGACGGACTCGGAGAGAATTTCTTTCGATCCTCGTATTGTTTTGGTCTGCAGCGTACAATTGTCCCATTCGCTCCCATAGAATGACGCAGCACGAGCGTCTCGTGAAACAGTTTGCTTTGTTCGCTACACGTTAGCCACGGACTGCTCGGTCACGCAAAGTGAGGTCGATCTGACGACTGCAGCGGCACGCATGTCCACCTCTCTATTCGCCGGAGCCGCGCTGCGTCGGCAGTAGTCAAACAGCAGTGAGCGGCAGCAGATCGTTCATGTTCGGAATAACTCGAGTTGGCGGCACAAAGGAAAGGCAACCTGTGGTGTTGTGAGAGCAACACCATGACCGCAAATGTTGCTGTTGGATTACCAACTGTCACATCATGACTGCTGTTTGCATTGAGGATTGTCATCGAGAATCAATTGTGCTCGCATCTGCGTCGAAATGATTTTCCTTCGAAGTCCCTGGAGGCGGTGAGTCAAAATTGCAGGATAGTGGGACCTCAGCTGTAGACGATGACTCGGAGTACAATTTATGCAGTCGTCAAATCTTCAGCTGAATTATGCGCTTCAAAAAGACTCGACTTGCTGCCCGCGCCACTGCTTGCATTCGATCCGCTGGTGATCGGGCTTTTGTTCTGCCAGAAGAGTATTGTTCGCTCCGGTGAGGAGCAATGCATTAGCTGCGTATCGTGCGGTGACCCGATCCGAGAGCCAGCGATTAATTCTCATGCAGCTCATTCGCGCGAATCTTTCTACCAAATCGAGTGCGAAAACAAACACGATTCTTTGTGCTGACTCAGTCGTCGAAATCATCGAGCTCCGTAGAGTTTTGTGGAAACTCGCCACGGAGACCCAGCCAGTAATGGTTGGAGAAGAATTGTAGGAGACCTGTGAATAACTTCGAGGGCGTCCTGCATCTTCTGTTCTTCAGGGGGCGGAAGCGGAATGACTTTGGTGAGATGGTAATTGATTTGGTACTACCAATTTCGGCGGATCACAGAGTTTTCGGACTTTCGTGGGCGGTCGTCAATCTCGCTCGCGCGAAGTTGTCTCCTGAAGTCCTGCAGGGATGAGAGTCTTCGCCTTCATTATGACAATTCAATTCAGTCAGCGGCGAGTCCTCTTTGGAAACAACGCCTCCCATCTCAGCGCGAAGTACCGTCGAAAAGTCGTCTTGATGGGGAAATGCTCGCGAACTTTGAATCATTCCAATTATTGGACGATGGCAGCTGCATCAAGCACTCCTCGTGTTCGGATAAAATCTCGAGACCGCAGAAGCCATGCTGCGCGGATGAGAACCCGGCTGCCGAACTTCGGCCCTTGAAGAAGTGAATATCCTTCCGGTCGGAAAACACTCGGCTCGATAACTGATGACTCGATCTTTCCAGGCTCCCGCAGGCTCTCCGCTCGCAGATATACTGAGATGAGGAGGACCGCGAGTTCGCGGGGCTGGCGCTCGATTTTCCTACCGCTCACCACGAGATTTCTTTGGATTCTGAGTTCTGTGTTCTTTTGTGGCTTGATGGTCTCGAAATGGCTGCTTACTCCGAGCGAAATAATCTTAGTGAATTCGAAGACGGCGGAAACGGATAGACTTGCAACCCATCTGCTGCCCGTGATCCTGCTGTGGACGAAAGTCTGGCGCAAAGACGCCGATCAGATCCGAGCCAACGAAATTTCCTGCAGGGGTTCGAGGATCAAGTGCGAGTTCACGAGTAATCGGTTAGCGATGCCCGAAGCCTCGGCGGTCCTCTTCCACGCTCGCGATGTCTACCTATCGGACGTCCCGCTTTACGTAAGTTCCGTTATTCCATTCGTGGCATTCCATGGCCGGGGAAATGGCTCACCTTCAATTGGAACTCAGACCGGAAACGATGCGGTTCTTCGTGTTTGGGGGAATGAGGTTTCTGGGTGAAATTCTTCGCTCGACCGTCCCGACCTCCAAGGAGATAGTCCTCCTGGGGTGAGCGGATCCAAAATTGAGAAGAAAAACGATCACTGAGAAGATGACATCAGGTCCCGCTGGTCGGTCTGGGGAAAGCCTCCGCCTGAGAGTCCCCGGACCGTCTCCTCTCTGAACACTATCGCAGTCCTCAGAAGTTCTGTCACCCAGGAGGGCCTCGTTTAATGGAAAGACAGACTTTAGAATGTTCTTTTCCTCTTCCGCAGAAGTACAAGACTCAAACGTGGATTCTATGGAATCACGAAGCGCCTGGGAACACGCCTTTTGACGTCTACAGCGTATTAGGCGATGTCTTCGACAAGCATCTCACCTACAGGAGCGTCTGGGACATCTATTCACCGTACGGATACCTTAGCAATCGGAGCGATAGTGGCACGCTCGAAGAACTAGGCAGTAAAGCTCTACGAGAAAGGTTCTACAGACAAGCGGGAGCTGCCTGGCTCGTGAGCGACTGCAAGACTGAGAGCAATAGGGAGGCTTATGTCCGCGAATTGCAGAGCTATTTCCCTGTCTCCATATACGGATATTGTGGGACGCACAGCTGCCCGAGGACCTCGAGGGATTATTGCATGACCAACATTTCGGACAAATTCATGTTTTACCTCAGCTTCGAGAATTCCCTATGCCCGGAGTACGTGACGGAGAAACTGTTCCGCACGCTCGAGTATCCCATAATTCCAGTTGTGCTCTCCGGGCCCCGCTCGGATTTCCTGAATTCTCTGAACGCGTTCGTCGACGCTTCGAATTTGACACCGGAGCAATTGGCTTCGAAGCTCCAATTCATCAGTCGCAACTTCACGGAATACAGTAGGTATTTCGCTTGGAAGCGAAACTACACAGCTCGGGCGGAGTACAGCCCCCTGTGTGAAGCCTGCGATGCCGTTCGCAACGACTTCAAATCTTCAAACAGACGGAAACCCGGAAGAATTTCGGAATTGCTCTCGGCAGAACATAGCTCTTGCACTCGATGGGACACTAATCAGAAGAAATTCGTCCCCATCGAGTCCAACTGAAGCCAAGACTTCGATCGGACCGTGTCCTGAGCGGCAATCGAGCCCCCTCATCCCGACGAGAGGAATCGTATCCCATTCGCATTTTTCAGCCGACCAAGGACTTCATTGCTGAGGAAAAATTGTTTCTATTATGGTGATGCTGTCGGTCTGCGTTCCCTACCGAACATTTTCTGTTGTTGGAGTAGAGAGTCGGTTGAACTGCCACGCTGCTTCTCGGCGAGACCGGCTATGAACACTGTGAAGATCTCAGGGATGCTCGTCGATATTTGTACATAGATGAGGTGCCCAAAATCGGAGACTGACTTTTCGAACGGTCGTGGGGTAAATTTTTCGCCCGGGAACCGAATTTACGTTCTCAAGGAGCTTTGTATCCTCGCGCGGAACTTCCGAGGCCCGGAACCAGCTCATTCCAAATCTTGAGCCGTGGGTTGCTGTATGGAGTGCCATCCCTTCAGAGCTTGCCAGCTCCCTCCCCCCTTGCCAATAAAACCCCCTTGCCAATAAGATTAACTTCGAGGCAGTCGACGTAAGAAAGGAGCATGAGCTGTACAATAAATAAATTATTTCTTCATTCACCTTTTTCTCATTCGTGGTTTATCCATAGGTCGGAGCTCGATGCGCCCGCTGCCTGAATTCTCTGAGCTCGTGATTCTTGTTTCTTGTCTCTCAAAATAGTTTCTATGCCCCTACCAAACTCCGAGAGGAATCCTCCTCTCATTCCCGATCCAGACGCTCAAAGGAGCGGCGTCCATTGAATGCGTCTGTGGGCTCCGAGGCGACATTCATACCGAAAACATTCGTGTCACCTCGATGAAGTTCGTTCGCGATCCAGAGAGAGAGGGCTGAGTATTTTTTTTATCGATCGGAGCCAACTCGCTCCTTCTCTGCGTCCAGTATTCAATGACCGAACGACTGTCGGATCGAATAAGAACATTAGCGACGACTATTGAGCTTCGATCGAGATACGACGAACTGATCTGTCCGCCACAGGCAGCCTCCAAGCCTTCACCTATGGAGGATATATTTTTCATGCAGGTACATCTGATAATTCGTGTTCGGCAGAAATGCTCTGATTTCCCCGAAAAGACGGATATCCTCAGCGATCAATCTCGACGAACCTCTCATCATAAACACACGATGCGGGTCTGATAGAGCGAGGAAAGCGGAAAGTTCTCGACGCTCCTTGGCTCTATCGGATTCTCGGGCAAAGCTCTGTAGATGCCTCGTGATCACTTGTTTGCGGGAATATTCATCCCTGAACGAAAACTCAACGCGCCTGAGTCATTGTGAGGACGGCGTCGGTGCCTTTTATTGAGAACAAATGATTGCTCAGAAGTATTTCCGTAGTCGAATCGCTTCTTCGGCCATCTCTTCCTCGCTGCGCCACCGGATCTTCGGGGATGGCTCTTCCAACTGTGGAAGATCGTGTATGAATCGTCATCACAAATGTGGGCTTTCCCGATCGCATCTCGGATCCAGCTCGTTCTCACCTCACTATACACGTCGTTGTCTCTTTCAAAGTCTCCAACATGCCTCGGTAAGATGTGTACGTGCAGGTGGTCGACACTTCGTCCCGCGAGAAGTCCATCCTACAAGAGGCCGATACAATTAGCCCTCAGTCGCGGGATGTCAGAGAAATGACAAGAAGGCCGAGAAGCGTCCGGCTATGGTTCCGAATCCGGGTTCCTCCCTGTTCATGGAGACGCTTCTCTCAACAATATACTACCTGTAGGGAAATCGTCGAATCTTGGGCATTGTACTCCTTCTCGACAGCGCCCTGAACTTTTTCAACAGCTGACATGAGATCGATCAGTTCGTCCTGCGTCAAATCTCTCAATCGGACAGCGGATCGTCTCAACGGAGACACGCATACATCTGTTTGACGGATGCTTGAGGAAAACTGCGCCTTTCTGGAGTTACCTATCCTTGTACCCTTGATCTCCCGCCGATGACCACCCTGAGCCGCATCTGTCTAACTTGAGCGGAGGTTTCGAAACTTTACCTGAATATTCACAGTCGATGAGTCGGTCTTGAATTCGATCTCGATAACGGACTGCACCTTTTTTACAACCGAAATCAGATCTGCTCTCTCGGAGGGTGTGAGATCTCTCAAGCGAGACGCAACACGAATTGGGGTGACCAGAACGTCTGCACCGGAGCATAGAAACACATTGAGGAGAACTGTTTTTTCTGATTTAACCAGGCTCGGAACTCGACTACCACAATGGCAATCACGCGACTGCTCCCCAGGAGGAGGGGGCACTAAATTATATCAAGGTAGTCCAAGAAGAGGACGAAGTCTCCCATGGGCCTAGTCTACACCTCGATCAGTTCCAGCTCATTCTCTAGAGATAAATGTCGCGACCGTAAAAGGATACGTCCATTGAGAACTGGTCTCTTGTTGGTGAAAGCCATCGTCAGGGGTGTTTTGTAGAAGAGTTGACTTTTTAACAGCGTATGGGGACCGAACGAGTACGTCTCCTGATCATCTATGCCTGGGAAGCGAGAAATGAGAATCAGTTTTGGTAAGGATGTGCTCTGGCTCCTTCGCTCGGCGTTTGGGATCGATACTCCTGCAGAGTTTATCGGACTCACTCGCGCTCCCGGCTATCGCAGGCACGTCTCCGTAGATTTCAGGGCGGCGATGATTCCATACGGGCATACCCTGCCTGACCTTCGTCAGATATTCAAGGTTTATATCTGCGTAGATGACTTCATTCGTCACATCCGACGCTTGCGCTACGACCGCGCCCCACGGGTCGATTATCTGAAAATTATGGTTTGGAACAATTTTTTCTCCAGTCCTCATTGGTATCGAGCTCCTCTCAGGACTACAACTCACCACAGAGTGCCCGTATGAAGACCTCTTCGCATTGTGCTGTCCGACTTGGGCCGCTGCAACAACGTAGCACTGAGTTTCGATGGCACGAGCTCGTAATAGAGCTTCCCAGTGTGCGTAACCTGTTGCTACGGTGAAGGCTGACGGATACGTGAGGATTTCGGCACCTGATTTCGCCAGACTCAAAGCAAGCTCCGGGAATCGCATATCGTAACAGATCGCCATCCCTACTTTCCCCACGGGAGTTTGGACCGGTGGCCTCAGGCTGTCGCCCGTGAAAGCGAAATCGGATTCTTTGATACGGAACGTCGGAATGTCGACGTCGAATAGGTGGACTTTGTCGTAGGTTTCGGCTATGCGGCCTTGATCGTCTATCACTACGTGAGTGTTGTGGATTTTCCTCGTATCCGGATTGGAGTCCCGGATGTGGAGCGATCCCAGGGAGAGCCATACTTTCAAATCCGCAGCCAGAGCTTTGTACTTCGTCAAGAGAGGACCATCAAGAGGTTCGGCCAATTCGAATGCCTGCTCTTTTTTTCTCCGACAAAATCCGCGCATTCGGGCAGGAAAACCATCTGCGGAGAGAAACCGCGGGCATCAGATAGGCACGAGAAGTATAGTATGTTGTCTCTATCCGTTTTGAGACGAATCGCCACCTACCTTCGCATTGTTCGACTTCGCCTGAGATATCAGTCGGGCACAATTTTCGTAGTTCTCTTCTTTCGCTTTCCCAGAGGTAACTTGGCAGACTGCAATCTTTTGCAGCTTGCTCGAAGATGACGACAGCATTCTATGAAATGTTTCACTACAACGAAGAATAGATCCGGGACCTCTGAGCATCACTGAAAAATCGATTGGGCTTTTAGTGATTAGAGTACTCAAGCGAAGGAAAAGTAGGGAAGGAGCGCTCTCTTGGTTAAGCGAGAAGATTCTCCTCAGGCTTCGCGACTCGTGACCGGGAGGAAGACCTGAAGATGAGGGCTCCGGTGAGCAACCAGAGCATCAATGTCGCGCAACAAGTTCTGCTTCTCGGCTCTTGGGTGTTCAGTTTGAGGTTGAACTCCTCGGGATAATGAATGGAATGTCTGAATGCAAATCAGTAGGAATATTATGGTCTTCTGGAATCAAATCGAAATGCGAACCACGATTCGCAACAGTAATATTTATTCACATTTATTCTTTGTTCCCCGCTCGCGACATGGTATACCTTCACTTATAAGTGGAGCATGATCTTACTTCAGACCTCAGTCACTATACAAAACATAGTTTCTGAGGAGCTCTCCTCAGCGTTGGTGTTTCAGCTCCACTCATTACAAAATATAGCTTAGGACATTGTCGTGGATTCAACTTTAAACGACAGCCTGAATCCTCTCCAAGCATCTCTCATAGTGTGTGATTAATGATCACTGATTATATACAGCTCCGAGCTATGGTACAATGTGTACAAAAACCGTGCGTTCGTACCAAGGAAGCCGGTGGAGACTGCCTCGCCGACTCCATGAGCACTCGCTGTTTGAGAAGGAGGAACGTGGTAATGCCGCTACAGAAGTTTTCCGTTCACAATCTCATATATCATTCTCTGTCTGAAGTAGGGCATGTCTTTCTGGGTGAAATTTATTCGTGCGTCTCTCGTAACGTATTCAGCGTACTTGCAGGCGAACATCCCGCAATCCGATCCGTTGCCTTGCTGGGGTAGATCTTTGAGATTTTTGCAAGTCCAACCTGTCACATCGAACTTCTTTTGCTTCTTGTCCTCTAGTTCGTCTTGGAGATACTGCAGCAAACACGCCGTACAACGATCGTTATTTCCACCCATCGAATCGTAATAGCTGATGCTTTTCTTCCGGAAATCGACCACAGCCAAGCACCAATGCATTCCCAAGTGTACCGGGATCAGGAGAATGTCGTTCACGAATATGTCGTCGCGCCTTGTCCATCGTCGAACTCCTTTGTGGCCCTCTTTTATCAACCGTGTGTAGAAAAATGTGCTGAAGGCATAAACTTTGGGCAGCTTCAATTCAGGGACCTGACTCCGGGCAGCAATCATATTCAAGTAGAAATTTATCACGGTGTCGTTGAGCCACGTTAAGCCTTTCAGGGTGTCGATGTCCGCTCGAGTTATGTCCAACTTGAATTGTTTGATGAGCACTTCCTGCGAGTCCGACTTCCTCATAACGTCTTGGATCTCTTGCCGCATAGCCGGTGTGAGGGGTGGGGTCTGCGGAGGCACCTCGGCCGGCAGCTCGGGTTTTCTGATGAGAGACTTGCGGTTTTCGACGACTTTTTCATAGGCCGCCTCTTGGAGATCATTCTCCTTTTCCCGCGCTTCGTTTAATGCGTCGAGCTCACGACGGAAACTTTCAAACCACTCTCCTGATTGACTTGTCGTGGTCGAATCGTTTCGCATGCTGTCCTCATCGTCTGAAATATCGTATACAACCCGGTTCTCCGGCTGATTTCTCGTAACGTAATCGACGATGTTATATTTGGTTATTGGGTTCTTCAGCTGCTTCGCGATCGACGACTCGGCGACGGGGTTCCGTTTAGGATGGACGCGCTTGAATGTCACCTATAATCAGGAAATGAGTTCATGTTTAACATTTCCCAGGGATACCTGCTTGGACACCGGATCAGTCTCATCATTCATCATGGTATTGGAAAGTGATTAGTGACTACGCACCCGGTCCGAACAATAATTCGGTATATGTCGTCGCAGCATTTCCATGTACGTATTCTTCGTTATCGCTCTGGAGGGTCGATAGTAGGGAGACATTTTCGCACGGTCTCTGGACAGATATTTTTTCGACGTCGATTTCCGAGGAGCCTCGGTGAAGGTGATTTCACATTGATAATCGCTTGAGGTCTCGGTCGGAGCTTCGACTTTGACGATTTGAACATCGTCCCCGCTGTCCTCGTCGCTGTCCTCCAGGGTGATCACGGCAGGAGGGCCAGCACCGGAGTTTTCTGCTGCCCATTTCCCTAATCGCTGAACGAAGTAATTATCTGATGAGGGGAGCGATTTCGTCATTGCCGAAGCGATAACTTGAGTAGGTGATGACTGTGAGCTGCCCATTCTATCCGCCTGAAAATGACCAAGTGACTTATCTGGATTCGACACATGCCGGTAACATTATTTTTCCGGATTACCGAGGGAAGTTTCGGCGCGAAACGCTGTACCACGAGCTGGTACCCGCGCCGATCAAGTGAGTATCGGAGTCGAGCCCCTTATCTCCGAGATGCCCAGTCGAGCTCGACTTCGATTTCCGGCGATGACGGCCAATAACTCACCTTCATGGGTAGGTTCCAGGGTCCAACTGAAGATTTCCGGACTGACAGGAAGTATGCCGTTCCCTAATGTTCACCCCTGATCTTGTGGAAGGAGATCCGGAGAACTCACGAAATCCTGTTCACCGCGTACGGTGGTATTTGAATCCTTTGATACACATAGTTTCGGCCCAGAATTCGTGAAAAAATTCGTGTGTTCTTTCAACTCGGGCCCAAAACAACAAGAAATCGAAACCACTCGAAGGGCGCCAAAGTTCGTATATGAGATCGCATGCGAGCACGATGGGAAGCTTCCGACCCTGAATCAAGACTTTATATAGCCTTAAACTCGGTTCAGGGTGAGATGGACCCATTGTGAAGAGAGAATTGTCGATACCAAATGAATTGATCAAAAGCCCGACGCGCGGGAATGAGAACATTCGTAGCGCGGTAGATGAGTCTGTGCTCGCGATTTCCACTGCGGAGCACAATATCGCGAAGGAGGATGATGTTCTGGGTCTGCTTCCGCGAACTTATTCTCCAGGAGACACGACTTCACTCGAATCCTCACATCAAACGATCGCATCATCGATGTGGTCCCAGATTCATCAATGATCATCAATACCAATCAATGAGTAATGATGGAGCTCGATGCTTATACGAGGAGCTCCGGGTCGATCACCTGATGGAGACGGCAGAAACTCCCGGGGAACAGATGATTCGCTGTCCCGGGAAAGCATGGGACAAAATCGAGCCTATTGTCTTTATTAAAAACTGTTTACATGACTTATTTACAGGCTAAACTGTCTCTCAACGGTTTTTACATCTCAGACAGCTCACGATCATCAATTTCCATATCTACAACGGCAGAGATTCTCCAATCGAGCTTCCCAAATTGAAGAGGTTCCACACAATTTCAGACAGCCAACCGTATAATTAACTCGATCGGTCGGAGATTGCAAACGTCGAGTGGTCGACGTGTTCCCGATGCGGCAGCTGATGCCGACGGGCGTTCCTTATCGGAAAATAGTGCCGGGATGGATGACTATTCCTTCATGAGCTGCCAGTTAGGTCGAGTGTTCCTAGAAGGAGCCCCTTGATTGGCTTGCGGTGGTGGCTTCTGTCGATTCTGGAATGGTGGTCGCTGTCCTTGGGGTCGGGGTGCTCCATTATTGTTGTTGCTGGTACTGTTATTGTTGTTGTTCGGCGGACTGGCTCTGCTCTCCGGGTTGAGCTTGTTGCTCATAAACTGGATGAATTCCGGATTCGGTTCCGAGAAGTTCGGAGTTTCGACGAACGGAAGACAAAAGTCTCCGATTTTCCGCAGATCGCCGCCTTTGCCGGTGTACAGAGTCAACGAGTTCTTGAAGAGCGACACGTAGCCCTTGGTGAGTCTGCAGATGTCACCGGGTTCCAGGAGCTTGCCGGGCTCGTTCCAGACCGAGAAATTGATCGAACCGGTCTTGTCGGCGACTTTGCACGAACGTATCTCGTTACCGTCCTTCGTTGTCGAAGCCTTACCTACCTCGAGGACGATGAACAAGCAGTGGAGATTTTTGAGGCCGGGCTTCAAATCTTTGAGATAGGTCTGTGGCTCCCTGACGGGGGCAGCGTCGGGCATCTTTCCCAGGCTATCGTGTACGGTTATCCGCCTCCCGAAAGACTGGACTAGACGAGTGAGTGCCGTAATATTGTCGGGTCTTATATTGTTGATTGTTGAAGGATACAGAGAGAAGGATGTAGTTCGGACTCAATGCAGAACCGAAGCCAAAACAGCTGACTCTCGGAAAAGAAGTCCGCGGCTCGGACGCGAGCTCTCACCGGAAGATTATTGGAAATCTGTCGAAATCGTTCCTCAATTACGCCCCGGGAAAGAAATTCCAACTCTCCACCGCGAGCCCTTGCCGGATTCCCCGCTCGGTTGCGAGATAAAAGCCTTAGTACCCATTCCCCATCGCGAGAAAGTTCAGGTGTCAGAATCGAATCATGTCCATTTGAAGAATGAGAGAAAAATCAGGCACGTTGAAGACTGTGGGAAGAAATACTGCTTCTCCTACTCACCAGGGGCTGGCAGAACAGGCAACGTCACTGGCTGCACTAGAAAAATGCACTCCGATCGTCTTGCACTTGACAAAACTATGCGATAACAGCTCACACTAGATGCGCCCTGCATCCAGAGGGAGCGCGTGCGTGAAAACTTCGCGTCGGTGGAGGATGTCTAAGCTCTACGAAGAAGCCCCGAAGGAGGGTTGAACATCAACCGGGTAGATCGTCTGAGCATCAGAGCTCGTGAGATCTCGGATATATGACGTCTTCCGAATGCATGATGTTTAATTATAGACGGGATCTACCGCCGGGCCGGCCATCATTTCTCTACCAATATGAGAAAAATCACGAACTCTGTCTCTCCCATTGACAGAGATCCATCAATTTTCCCTCGAGTTTCACTGTATTGTCGTTCGGGGCTTCATCTTGGGACGAAATATTGCACACTTTCCGGGTATTTCGTGAAACGATGTGGAGCCATTCGAAGCTTCGCGCGCTCTCAAAGGCACTATGTGGTGCTTTTTTGTGACCGAGCAGACGACTTGTGTTTCGGCGTTGTAATGTTTGGTCTTTTTCTTGTGCGGCGTGGCCGAGAGCGGTCGCCAAGATGGGAGCTTACAAGTTTGTGCAAGAAATCTGGCGCAAGAAGCAGAGCGATGTTATGCGCTTTTTGCAGCGTCTGAGATGTTGGTATTTCCGACAGCTCAACCGAGTTCATCGTGCTCCGCGACCCACTCGACCGGACAAGGCTCGACGTCTCGGCTACAGGGCCAAGCAAGGTATGTTATCGGGAGAAGTGGTTTTTACTTGAATAAGGGTTCCCCTCGGTGATTCCCTCTATCCATTGGTGGAGGTGAGCTCCGAGTCCGTCTCTCTGGACGGAACCCAACGACGAGCTGCCCTGTTCGTTAACTGTTTCGTGCACCACATTGGGAAGTCGCATTTCCACGTGGTCGCGATTGGCTATCATGATGAGAACATTCACCACCTTACTGAGTTCCTGTGAGGATCAACCTTTACATGCACTACCAACTGAGAAAAGTCGCTCCCGAAGCGTTCTGCTCCCTCGAAGTTCGAACAGTGATTCAGTCGAGTTTCTTCTCCCACAGGGTTCGTCATCTACCGGACCCGAATTCGCCGCGGATGCCGCAAGCGCCAGGTGCCCAAGGGAGCGACCTACGGCAAACCCAAGAACCACGGTGTCAACCAATTGAAACCGACTCGCAACCACCAAGCGATCGCCGAGGGACGCGTCGGCAAGCGTGTGAAGGCTCTGGTTGTCCTGAACTCCTACTGGGTGGCACAGGACGCCACGTACAAATACTACGAAGTCATTTGCGTTGATCCGTTCCACAAGGCTATCCGACGGGACCCCAAGCTCAACTGGATCTGCAACCCAGTGCATAAACATCGCGAACAACGAGGTCTCACGTCCGCTGGCAGGAAGCACCGCGGTCTCGGAAAGGGACGTCGCTACACCAAGACGATCGGTGGATCTCGCAGAGCCAACTGGAAGAGGAGGAACACTCTTCAAATGCGCCTCAAGCGCTAGTCTGCGGATTGTTGAAGAGAATAAATTCTTCGCGTTCTTCCGAGTTTACGTTCTCTTTGATAAGCGAATGATGGGAGAGCGCCTGACTGACTCGGGAGGTATTCTTCGTCGCGGTTGGGAGCGGCCATGGAGGAAATTGTCCGATTCTTAGTAGGGCGGAGGAGTTCAACCCATTTCCGCCATGAACTGTTTCCTGGATCTGCCTTCCTGGGAGCTCCAAGATACTCTCAACAGAGAGAGAGCAGATCCCGTGCACCACTACCAAATCGATGCGACGGAAGGGAAATAACATTCACCGTGTATCGGCATGCGAAAGTTTTGCGAATATTCGCTGGTAGACCTAGTACGTCGATTCAGGTCCGTATCTTGGCGGTACCATCCTCGTGGCTTCCCACGTACTGAACGGTTTCCGAAACTTCGCCGCGATTGGCCGTGAAAGCCTGTAGGGAACACGGTCAATGAGTATTTGCTCGATCGCGATGTCAGTTCCGGCATAAGGTGCTCCGGAGGATTTGAAGAGCCCGCATCATATTCCATTGGATCCGTGGTACTAATTCCATATGATCCGCAGCAAAGAAGTGCACGTTTTCTGTTTCACCGAGAAAAGTCGCTCGATTCGAGCCTTCCGACTGGATGCACTTTTATGCGTAGATCGTCTAATCTCAGATACCAATCTCAGATACCTTACTTGAAGAGAAATGTCGAGTCATGTGATTTTAGAGGGGGGGTCAATTTATTCAAACTAGAAATGCCTACCCGGCAAGGATGCGATTTTTTCTTGGGAAACTTATATGGGGAATAGACGGTTTTCCTCCCTTCGTGGGCGGTCGAATGCAGGGATATTGCACAATTTGAGAGAGCTGTCCGACCGAACCTTAAGAAATCTCGTGCGGAATGAATTCCGAAGAAGTCAGCTCACGTAGGACCTGCTCCGATCGCTGTGGGAGAGGAAGCACCTCTGGCCACCGGGATGATATCGGAGGCTCACAACCGGCGCCGCATGGCCCTGAGTCTTGTTCGAGCGTTGATGTAAGCGGCAGCTCTCGCATGGATGCTGTCCCTTTCCTGGCTTCCCCGCGATGGAGACCCCGACATTTCTCGCGGCATCCGTCGCTGAATCCTCCTTGGTGCCAAAACTCGTCGATGGCGTATAGCGTGTGGTCCGTTCCGTTCCCGTAGAATAGGCCTCCGAGGCCTCCGTTCCCGGAGACTTGGCTCTCGGGACTGCGGCTCCCGAACTTGGAGCGATCTTCGGTTCTCGTTCCTAGGATCCCCGGGGAACTCGCGTGTGCGCTCGGAATAGTTCGGATCTCCGCTGTAAACGACGAACAATCCTCCGCCTCTTCGCAGCTCGCAGTTTTCTCCGTTGTGTAGAATAAGCCTCGGTTGTCCACTTGCGAGTCCGCTGATATCGCCAGATTCCGTAGACCGGGCGGCTTCGTTCGAGTCCGAGAAATTCATGGGACCGATCTGATCGGCTCCCCGACAGCAGCGGAGTGCCGTTCCGTCTCGGACGCTTGGAGTTCTCCCGATGTCCAGAACGAATAACACGCAGTGGAGATCGTTCACTCTGGGCTGAGCAGCTTTCGGATAGGTCAGAGTATCCGTGATGGGGTTGACTCGAGACATTGGTAGTCGATGTTAGCTTGCAGATGCTAGTGCAGAACAATGATCTCGATATCGAAATCTACGGAGTTTATAAGGCGAATGGGGGCATATGGGAGAGAAGTGTTGAATGCATGATTGGGTTCTCTCTGGAATTCCTCTGTGTGAAATCTCGCATCTCGAACCCCGACGGGGTGCGAAGTCCGCGGGTCTCCGCGGACCCTGATGTTCGGAATGCGCTCCGGGGCGCATTCTTGCGCTTCATTGGGAGGACCCCACCCGGGTGAATCAATAGGCAGGCGAGCCAATAGTGACCGCGACGATTCGCCCGAGCATACGCGTCTTCTATTGGTGGGAATCATTGAGGACGATCGTCGGATACAGCGGCTTCGGAGTCCGGAGAATCTCCAAGAAGACGTTCTGGACGATGAAGATTCGTACCTTCCGTCGCATCTGATTTTCTCCGAACGTCGCAGACTTTCTGGGTGCTCGATCATTCTCATAGGTCTGAGACCTAATCTTGGTCCTTGATCTCCTGTGGAGTAAAGCCTGGAACCAGAAGTCGAATGGTCGCTCGCCGTCATGGGGGGACGATAACTCTAACCGTCACTTGAAGGAACGGCGCGGAACCGGAGCTCAACCCCGTGACTCAAGAAAGGACTAAAGGGATGTCAAGTACTGAACCATGAGCTTGAAGGTTGTCGCTTGGCACGCATTCTGACGCATTGCCTAGGCAGCAAAGCCTCGTGCTCGTTCCACGCACCCGGCGTTCCGATCCGAGTTAAAGAATCAATCCCGGATTGGTCGCAAGGCCGCGGTCGATACTTCGGCCAGTGCGCAGCAGCGAATTTCTCGTGCAGGTCAGCAGCTGTCGATTCGCATCAGGTGCGGATTATATTTTTCGTGTTTTAAGAGGTGGGCCGATCCTGGATGTAGTGCAATACCAGGCCAACCCGCGGCCGAGGTGGAGCAAGCCCCGAGCTCTCAGCCATGTTCCAAAAAATAGTTTAATATCTTGGGGGACGATGTCCCCCGTATCAGATATTAAGCTGATAAGAACAGATACTACACTTTGATCTTAGCCAAAAGGCCGAGAAGCGATACCATTGCAGTGGATCGGCTTCGACTAGGTGAGCTCGCCGGCGAGCGGAGGATCGCTCGCGATATAGAGGTAGCTCCCAAATAGAGCGGAATCCTTGCAGAACAGCGCGGGACTGGACACTCGAGAGCCACCTCGCCTCCTGGATGTTCGTGTCCATAAGTGCAGAAACGGAATTTAGAGGCGCTCTCTCAGTTATTTTGAACGCATCAATGCCTATCGGCTGCAGTGATGAATCGACGCGTACGAGGCCGAAGGTTGAGACACCCCGAACGAGGGCGAGCGCTTCGTTCTTTGCTGCGAGATTCGTCGAGCATCTCATGGGGTCGCGAGTGTACGACCGAATCGAAGCATGGCTCTGCACAGAAAGATTCTACAGTCTGCGGCTTTCAAGAATGGAGCTGAGCACCACATCGTTGGCGATCGGATTGAAAATATATTCGGCGGATAACAATGTACAATATAATACAAGAGCCGAGCTGTGAAAGCAGAGTACGTCGGAACTTCGGGAACACTATATGTTACGCCAAAACAATGTATTACATCCAGGAGCGGATCCAGCTTTTTTTCTTGGGGGGGGCCAAGTCATATTTTCAGGGGGGAAAGAGCCGAAAATGATGACGCGCCACCTCGCGGCCCATGCTTTTGTATAGGGATCGAAGATTCTTGGGGGGGGGCCATGGCCCCCTGGCCCCCCCCCTCGGATCCGCCACTGATTACATCTTCAGAGCCCGAGATTCTCGCCGCGGAGCGACTTGACTTCGACTGCTGCCGAATCCATGAGCGAAAACTGTGCATACCGCGAGAGATTATCTCCGTCCGCGATCCATGCGAGTCCATTGGAATTTCAAGTGGGTTTTTGGAGACTCCTTTGTGCTTCTCTTTCTCAATAGTCGCCGAGAGAAGTTTTAGTATCCGCCTCTGGTGATTCCGAAAACACAGCTCTCTCACTAATGGGGTCCACTCATTGAATGCGCGGGGGAGATTCGACTCCAGTAGGGTGATTCCAGTCAGACCTGTAATCGAGACTATCCAAAGCCTCCTCGCTAGAAGCAAAGAATTCATGTCTCGACCGATTCCGTTTGGCGGCATGATTCTACAGGAGAGGTACCATTGACGTTCCCTTGGATGTCTTCGAACCCTGCATCCCCACGCACAGAGGATACAGGAGGGCAGACAATCTTTCTTCGATATCGAATCATTCATCACAGAGAGTTGTTATATCGTCTTTTGCTTCGTGTTCGTCTCTAGCCCACTCCTGTTCTTCTGTCGACCCGAACGTAAGGAATAGGGCGGTCCATACAGCACCAATGACGGCTAGACTGCCGAAAATGAGGTTCCATTGAAGGAGGCTATCCTGGAAACGGCATAATGCAGGGAACGAACTTCATCTGGGCCAGATGAAATCATGTGTTTACACAATATCGAAGCTCCCGATCGAAGTACTCACTTGATCGTTCGTCATTATTCCGACGAACATAGGTGCTATCACGCCCGAGGAGTGAGATACAGTGCCCACGATCCCCTGGAGCGTTCCGGCAAATTTAGGGGCAAGGTCGAGGGCCAGCAGAGAGTCCCCACCGCCGGAGAAGCCGAAGCAGATACAATTCAATAAGATCAAGGCTAGAATGACCTCGTAGTTGCAGCCGACGAACGGTATGGTCGCCAAGCAAAGAGCGGGAATGAAACCGCCTGAAAGAATATGGTTCTCAGAATCTTCCAAACGCTCTCCGGAGATTAGATTCGACAATCTTGAATACTCACTGACGGCAATGCAGGTCCTCCGGACGACGCTCTTCGGAAGGATCCTTTCTTTGATGATTTTGTCCGCGGCCCAGCCGCAGAAGACCAGGGAGCTTGCGGTCCCCAGGTGAATGCCACCATTGATTAGACCGTCCTAGGAGTGTTCGATAGAAGGTGACATATTCCTTTCCCAGATTCACAGAAACAGGGTCTTGAGGTCGTCGCTCGGTAATCATCAAGCCCATACCTCGACGATGTAGATGCCGAACATGTACTTCAGATAACTTGGGAGCTCCGTGAGTATAGTGTAGAAGTTCAAACATTTAGCGAGGCTCTGGATGCTGAGGAGGATGACCACAGGGGACAGGAGCATCCGTCGCCAGGGAACCTACGATTGATGGTTCCAGTAATGGCTGCAAGACGCTTACCTGAGCTTTGGCTCTCTTATCGAGAACACATACGGGACTATCCCAATATTCCAACCAGGGTTTCCAGAACTCACAAATTTCGGAGACCTCTTCGTCGACGGAGGTCTGTACTCCATGATGTAGTCTCGCTCTTCCCGCGAGATCCAGCGATGATGTTCAGGTCCATCAGCGGCATTTATCAACCAGAGAATACAGGAGACGATCCCGCCGAATCCTGCACCAAGAAAAGAGCTTACAGAGCGCAATTTCCAGTTGAGGACGCCCGGAGGAGGAACTTCCGATTGCGGCTTTCGCCGAGCTGCGACACTGACCAAAGATATAGAACGCGGACGGCCACCCCAGATCCGAGGCGCAGAGCATCGCCGAGAGAGGCATGGTCGAAACCATTGCCAATGTGCTTCCAGATGCGACCAAGTTCAGCAGAAATCCTTGCTCTTCGATCGGGACCCATTTTGTGACGAACACGAAAATACACGGTGTGATGACTCCCTGAAGAGATGGTTGTGAGAGCTACGTTTTGTTCTTGCTCGCTCGTGGAAGCAACGCACTCCGGCGGGGACTCACCTCACCGATGCCCTCAAGGAATCGAAGCGCGAGAAGAGCGTACAGACTCAAACGTGCCGCGAAGGAAGTCAAACACGTCAGGATAGACGTGAATGCTACGCCCACACCGACTGTCCATGAGAATGAATACGTTTGGGCGATATAGCCTCCGGGAACTTGAGAAATCATATATCCGGCGAAGAACGCGTAAGTGACCCTGGACTGCTCTTCCTTACTCCAGTTGAATTCGCCGTTCTGGAATGAACCAGTCCTCGTCGCGGGACATGCGAGCATGGATAATGAGGCAGAGTCTTTGAAGGGGAAATCTTAAGATAGGGATCAGAAGGAATCGCTTACCCTCTCCACGACAGGTTCTGTCGTACTCGTGTTAGCGAGACTCGTGTTAATGAGATGCGGACTTCTGCAGGTGGCGTTCAGAAGGGATTCGGGGTCTGAGCTGGTCGAATTGACCATCGCGGTGATTGAAACAGACAGAGTCAATCGCATTGCATGCAGAAGGAAGAGATTCGCGGCGAACAATCCTGCCAGTATGAATCGCCAGGTGCCAGTTCGCTCATCTGCAAGTGGTAATACTGAGACTGAGAATTGTTTCGAGGTCAACCTATGTGATACCAAGAAAAAGCTCCTCCAGTCTCTGCTCCTACGGGGAAACTGTTCTTGCACATATTCTGTGAATGATTCCCCGTGAGGCATAGACCGACTCTGTTCACCGCTTCTCGCTGCTTATTTCCGACGAGCTTGCTTTTCGACGAGCTGTGGGGATTGAATCGATTCTTGAGGGGTAGCTCACGGATTCTCGATAAATCCCCGGGACCCCGGGAAAATTAGTAATTTACTCCGAGATTTCGAGAGGCTGTCTTCCATTGATTCATAGATCTCATTCATCGGCAGGGAACGGTAGACCGGAGAAAATAGTCCCGGAGAATCGCGAGTGTTCAGGAATTCAGGGCTCTATGTTGATGTACGTAGAATTATCAGAGGGAATTATCCGGATCATACGACCTTATACGATATTCGACGAAGCTCCCCGATGTTTCGGAGGCGTTGTACGATCTGATGACCACTCACAATCGATATATGCAGAATATCGTCGTCTGTATATCCCAGAATGAGTTCAACCGTCGTAAAGCGAACAGTGATCGCATGTAGTAGATGAGGTCTATCCGATCTGGTCAGTACTCTGATCGTCTCCACTCACATTTTGGTGTCTCGACAACTTCGAAGTCTCCTTCCGGTTTTCTCCACATGGTCGACGATTTTTGCCCGGATTCGGATTACGCTCCTCATGGAATGAAGATTTCCGTTGCAAAACTGTGGATGGCTCGTGCCACGAGCGTCAAACCTGGATGAGCGTTCCGACTTTCCGAAGGCTCTCCGCTCTACAATACTCTCTACTCACACTAATCCATGGGATCGATTCCGTTAATCTGGATTAGATTTCCGCACTATCCTCCATACCTGCGCACCGCTATTCTCGTCCCCATATTCAGGCTCACGGAAATAAGAAGAATCCACTTTCATCATCACTTTCGGATGATGAATCTCAGCAAGCAAGCAAGCCTTTCATTGAGATACGTAATTCTGTTCAAGATGACCCCCCGATCAATGCGGGATCCTTCGAGCTGTTTCGCGGCTTCGACAGTGCTCAGCCAAACTCTTCTGACATGATTTGCTCCATCATCGAAACCCCGAGCAGTCGTCGATCGATTGCGCGTGTTTTCTGTTCACATGACGCTGTTACTTTATCACCTTTTCTGTCTGTTCTTCGATGTGTTTGACCACTATCATAGCGCCGCACATGGTCACATTTTCAAGATAAGCGTGGACGGGCAGCTAGAGCGGTTGAGCCGAGGTGTTCATGTCATCAGCTTTTATGGACGGGAAGACGATCACGCTGGGAGTCATTCTACAAACTCCCACCAGGAAGCATAATTTCTCCCGTAGACTGGTGAATGAATGAAGCTCTTACTAAGCGCCACGGAAGCAAGAATGTTTCATGTTTCCAGCTTATTGCGTGCTACATGCAGGAAGGGTTCGTATAAATTCCCCACTTGGTTTCCAAATCAAGAGAGCTCGCGGGAATCTGTTTGCGGCAAAACAACTGGGAACTCCTCATCCCAAAAATGAAGTCCTCCGGTCCAATGGACGAGGCTATTGCCCTCATTGTCAGCTTCTCTGGCCCTGTCTCGGTCCTGCTCATCGATAGAACCGAAAACGATGAATGGCACAGCGACCTCCGCACCCCGCACGGCAACAGAGTGAAATACGATGTTTCACTGATGGAGTGGGCTCTCAAATTGTAAACCCACATTCTCGTGATTTCGAAACAAGCGTGGTTCGCGTTCGAAGGGGAGCCCTGCTCCAAGCGGATCCCATCTGGCAACGAAGATGACGAGCGAGGGGCACATTACTCCCTTTGCGGAACTCCGAGCTGAGAATCACTTCCGCGCGACAATGCTTCCTCCTTCAATGGTCTGAGAAGTTCACAGAACTCACAATTAGAGTATCCTCACCTCAGCCGAATCGCCGAAGGCACGGAGAACGGGGGGGGAGGAAGAAAGTCAGAGGTGTGACACTCGTCAGGCATGTTAGCAAAGCGGTAAGCACCATTCCAACGTCGAGAACCCACGTGGAAGGAAACCTCTCGGCCAAATATCCTCCGAGAAACTGAAAAAAAAATATCCTCCAAATTATGAGTTTTGATATAGCCGACGAAGGAAGCGCACTTTACCTCCGCTTGCATAGTCTTGTCCCAGTTGAATACCCCCTGGAGGGAGACATTATCATCGCGAGATCAGCATCTACGTATCGGTACTCCTGAGGAACAATACCTGCACCCATTCCGAGGACAGGGTAAGCGTCATGAGCTCAGGGTGTTCGAAGAATCGGAAATGGTAGCGTTGGGATCATCTTGATCGAGATTCATGCTAGTATCCCTCAAGGGAGGAATATCGTCGGACTTAGAAGGGCCCACCATGGTTGTGGTCGCAACGGAACGACTCAGTCGCATTACGTAGAGCCAGGAGCCATTCATGAACAGCGAAGCGGATAAAATGAACCGGACGGAACCGGACGGAACCGGAGCGACTGTCTGAGAAAGTGAGATTCCAATGAGGTTCTGGTACATCGAAGGAGGCAGGAGCTCGAGCTTTCTCGGGAGTTTATTTTCCGATATCGAGAGTCGTCACCTCGATGGAGAATTTGTCCTTCCTGCTCACGCTCCAGTCGGTGGAGAACGGCAGGGAGAATTTTTGCCTCGATCTTCATTCTATCCGCTCCACATCGGGTATATTAATGCGAACTCTAGCACGATGCTGAATTTCAATCCGCAGATTGTGGTAGAAAGGGAACAAACGCCGTGACGCTGGTAGTGCCACTCATCGACTTCGTCTGATCCTTCGAATCCAGGTCAAATATCTAGGCCGAAAGGCCCTTAGCCGTCACTCTTATCCTGAGCCCGGCAAGGGCAATCTCATCACTCACGGCAGAGAATCGTTGGGATCTCCGCTCCGAGTCAGTCGATCGCACACCTGCCAGGCCGTCGATGTGGATCATGATGAAGGAAGATCCTCATTCCGCCAGCGGAAACGCTTACGATTCCTTTGCAGAATCGCACATGCAGTTGATCGAGCTCTACGTTACGGAAAACAATTAATCGGACTTGAAAAGAGCAACTCGAGCAGTCTTGTTTCACGATCTCATTTTCAGACATAACACAGGCGATGCGAACCACGATGAGATGGATGCTCGAAATTACACAGACGAAAATGGTCCTTTCGCAGGAATTCGACCAACAAACGCGGAAACCCGCACATTCTTCCAGACACTTTCAGACCCCCCGCACCCTCCCTATTCCTCAGCCTTCCTCTGAGAATTGCGATTCCGTCGTATGATGATATCTGTCGCGAGGATCCTCCATCTCAAGGCTCATCATCCGAGCCAAGTAATGATTTACTCCCAATACGTCCGGGAATTACGCTCCGGAGACCGGAGAAGGAGTTGGCGCCGGGGCTCCCGAAGGTCGCGTACGGGAAGCTCCACTCTTGAACCGGACAATTATCGTGGAGACGGTATTTCTTCGGTATCAGTATAATTGTACACGCATCCTTGAATTCATATTCGCCACTCCTAATAAATGATCGATCCATCTCTTAATTATCACGATGGACTAATTCGTTGTCCTCTGCGTCCTCTCCATCTGTGGCCCAATCTTGCTTCGCGACGGTACCGAAAAGAATGAACAAGATCGCTCCGAAAGCGCCACAAGCAGCAACGCAGTAGAGAACGAGATTCCATTGGTGAGCCGTGTTCTGGAAGACGAATTCCGTTAAACGTCTGAGGAATCAGAGGCTGATCCGGAACGCAACCGGACGCCTTCCTGCCTCCACTACGCGAGACTCACATTTTTTTCCGTGGTGATTGCGACGAGAGCAGGAGCCACAACCCCAGCAAGGTTTGCCATTGAGCTCGTGACCCCTTGAACACAACCTGCGAGCTCGGGGGCGATGTCGAGACCGATTAGGCGGTCGCCACCCCCAATGAACCCCATGCAGACCAGATTTAGGAGCATTAGGCCCAGGACTAGGTGGTAATTGCAGCCGATTTGGGCAATGATGATCATGCAGATGGATGGAACGAAGCAGCCTCGAAAGGAAAGTATCAATCATGTATGAAAGTATCAATGTCCTAAGAACATTCCTCAGATTGACTCGCCGGTTTCTCGATCTGTGCAAACAATTCCGCTCTCACACTCACAGCCCGCGTCGTGGCAAAATACTCACTGACAGCCACGCAGAATTTACGCAGTGTATTTTTCGAAATCGCTTCCTTGGCGAGTATCTTGTCAGTGGCCCAGCCACAGAGAATCACAGAGATCGCGCTTCCCAGGGTCATAAACCCGGTCACCATGCCCACCTGTGGAGTATCGAGTTGATTCTATAGCTCCTCTTTTGAACAAAGGATCAGAAAATTTCAGTGAGTGGTCGGAATTCTGGAAATCACTTACGGTCAGGGTATCCGCTCCGTATATGTACTTGAGATAACTCGGGAATTCCGTGATGATGAAGTAGGCGTTCATCGAGACGCCAAAGCACTCAATGCCAAGGAGCAATACGGCCGGGGAGAGCAGCAACTTCTTCCAGGGTACCTGTCGATGAGGAAAATTTATTGTGAGGAGATTGTCTGACCTCGCGCAACATCAGTCCGCGCCTGTATCCAACTCGGCTTGAATTACCGCTCGCATATTTTTCTTCTTGGACGCCGCCCGGTGTTTGATGATGTAGTCGCGCTCTCCGGGCGATATCCAACTATGATACTCCGGAGCTCCGGCGCTCAGCGTTATCCACAGGATGCTGAATACGATCCCGATGATCCCTGCGTACGGAGCGGGGCTCAGAATGAGGAAATTGAAAATCCTAAGGCGAGACTTTTCGTTGAGAAAGTGCCGTGAAGCTCACCGAATACGTAAAACGATGCAGGCCACCCCAGAGGCGAGTTGCACAACAAGGCGGACACCGTCATCGTGACTACGGTTCCCACGGCGCATCCGGAAACGATGAAGTTCAAGAGGAGCCCCTGTTCCTGAACCGGTATCCAGTTCGCTATGAAGACGAACACGGAAGGATACATCACTCCCTGCAGAACGGAGAAGCATGGAGGATCGCCAGGCCTGATCCATCCCAATCGATTCGCATCTGATTTTCGGGAGATTTTTCCACTCACCTCACCGAGACCCTCTAGCATGCGGAGGGCGATCAGAAGAGCTATATGCGTCCGTGCCGCTATAGACGTGAAACATGTCAAAACGGATGTGAGCCCCATCCCCAAGCCCAGCACCAACGTGGGGGAATAAATTTCGGCCAAATATCCTCCGGGGATTTGAGTAATAAGATACCCGACGAAGAAAGAATACGTGATCATCCCTTGCTGACTCTGATCCCAATCGAATTCCCCCTAATAAGAGAGATCATGGAGTCAGTCATCATACCGTGTGGGCTCAGCACGGTCTCCAGGAGCGCCATGGAATACCGTGAAACCCCCAATACAAGCCCGGGTTTTTATTTTTTTCAAGCGTCTCTCTGGGAGGCTTTATTGGAGAGAGGCTTCTAGTAGAGGGGGTTTCTGATATCCAGTTTTCAACTGTGGGACGAATCGGTGGGAGAACTGGACAACTACATTCTCCCGCTTGAGAATTTTATTCCATCTTCAAGATTACGGTCTAGATAGTGCATTTACAACATCACGAAAATACGTAGCTACATCATATTTCACAAAGCGGAACGTCGCTGTCGCTCTCGAATTTCACGATATTTGTGAACTCACAGTCTTATTGGGCCTGGGGACGGTCGTGTTCTCAACAGCCCTGTCTAGGCTCCTGCAAGTCTCATTCAAGGGAGCCATGACATCAGGATTCTCCGTGTTGACCATGGCTGTCATCGAGATCGAGAGGTTCAATCGCATCGCGTACAGCAGGAAACAATTCATGAACAGCAATCCACACAATATGTACCGGACTGAACTCGTTCGATCTTCTGGAAGTGCAGACCTTCAATGAACCCGGGGAAAATGAGCAAGGCTCCTAGCACAGGATGAATGTTGAATCGCTCACGTTTCCCATCTCGCGCGTTTTCTTTTTCGTCTTCCATCTTGTTCGGAACTGTTTCAATCCCGACTGTCTCCACAGGCACGGGGCACAGAATTATTTCTGAGGTATCGCAGCACGATCAATCATCCGGCACCGACGGCCCGGGAGTTCCTCGATTTACTCAAGCTCGACTGGTAAAGGCTCACTCTACCTTAGATTCATCCATTTTCAGAGGTTCTTAATCCCGTTAAGTCATCCCGGAGCTTACCAACGGCTTATCCCGTGTAGTCCTGCGCGCTCGCTCTGCACCTAGGTGGTCGGGTCAAGATGCGTGCTGGAATCGGGACGACCCATTGCTGAAAATTAACCTTGGAGTGCTGCAAGAGACCTTGCAGAATTACGAATTATATTGGGAACCTTCCCGCTAGGCGGATTGCATTTATTATTCGGAATCATGGGAGATGGTGCTCTTTCATCTTTCCTTCTGATGTACTCAGCGGCACTTCAAATCTCTGATGTACTCGGAGCTCCGACACGGAGGAGTGCCACAGGGACCTTGAAGGTTGAACCTCGCGATTTCGCGATTTCGAACAAAACCTTCAACAAGATCCCTGGCCTTGACCAAGAGCATCTATGGCCATCCTGGATGAAAATCATGGAAGGAGGGAGCTCGAGGGAGCTAACTCAAAAAACCCGCGCTTCCGAGCTGAGACGTCGGTGTTTTGGAATTATGTTTCGGCGCGAATGCGTCCTTTCGCATCGCTTCCAGCTAGCGTAATCCTCGCTGAAACTCGGAATTGGAGCCGGAAAATTCGACGAGGGGAGAAGTTTCACCGTAGTGTAGGACCCGCCCGTTCGACCATCATCTCGCGGCAAGTTCACGCATGAATAAGAAGAAACGGCCGCTGGTTGAGCATACGGAGAGCCGGCTTTCGCGTCGAGCTCTCTGACCGCGTTCCCCGGAGGCTCTTGCGAGGGGACACCCCTCCAATCAGATCTACTCCTCCGTCCTCCTCGCCTGTGCATCTCCGCGGAGGGCACCCACCTGCCATCAGGGAAGAGCTCGTAACATGCGGCCTTGCATTCCAGATGACGACACGAAATGATGACATATCCGTGGCCGTGAGGGCTCGACCGTCGCTCGATGGGAACCACGTCAATGAATGGGCTATCGAGGATAGAGTCATATACGCGACCCGAAGCTATCTCATGCCCTTCGGATTCGACCACATATTCTCTCAGAAGAAGACAAACTTTGATATTTACGCGGAGGTCGTCAAGCCGGTCGTCACCTCGTTCGTAGCTGGCCAACACGGGACTGTACTCACCTTCGGCGAGAAATTCTCAGGGAAGACCCACACTATGATGGGTCACCATCAGGACCCCGGGGTGATCAGGAGAGCGGTTCCACAAATCTTCAGTGAAATCTCAAGCTTCAAGGCAAGACTCCTCCAGGGATATTTTATTTCGGGGTATATTCCCGCATAGGGTGGGCTAGAGCATCGGATTGTACGCTTAGAAATTCCTCAGGGAGTCGGCGCAGCGGAGGCCCTGGTTTCGCGGCGGGGGAGGAGGAGAAGTCACGTTCGCGGAACCCGGTTTCAATACAGCCGGGTTACAGTTCTCGAAAATTCTTTTCGGTCCGCAGACCGGGATTCGGAAATTCGTGGTCCGTGTCGGTTTCCTGGAAATCGATAATGAGGGCATTCGAGATCTCCTGTTATGCGCACCGGATCGGCGCCGTCGCCGCGGCAATCATCCGTCGTGGACTGTGGCCGGCTCGAGCCCCCGGATCGTGACGAACGTGGCGCAGGCGCTAGCCTACATCGACGAGTTTGGCGGATTTCCTTGCGACGAACGCGCGCACCCATTATCATCGAAGCTCCACTCGATTTTTCGCGTTACGATAGAATCGTCGAGTCGAATCCCAGACGAAAAGAGCAAGGAGCGCGGGAACCTGAGGGTGTCCCAGCTGAATTTCGTGGATCTTGTCGGGACTGACGGGATTGCGGGAACCCGACATCTGGGCGAGGGTCAAATATGCCTATTCCTCACAGAGCTCGGTAGAGTGATTCGGAAGCTGACGACGACGTTAAAAAAACGCAGCGATTCCCGGTGAGCTTCTGGGATGCCACGGCGTCGTACTGGAGATTGTCAATCATTAATTCTGGGAATCTCGAATTACACTCAATATCGACAGCGGCAAGGTGTCGACGATTCTTCCGGGAGCGGTCGATCTCTGACTTGATCTCTGATCCCGCCTCTATGGCTCGAATGCTCCTGATCTAATTTTAGGAGACCGTTGAGGGGTTTGTCCTGCTCCAGTCGAAGGGTTGCGCGCATGGCTCTTTTATGTCACATTTGCCCGACGGAGTTCGAGTCGACTCTGGCTACGCTCGAATTCGCTTCCGGCGCCAAACTCGTGCAAAGAAGGCCCCTGATCAAGCAAATGCTGGCCGGTGACTATTGTGCGCTGCATGGAGGAATCGATCGGCTCTTAGCCCTCATTTCGGTGAGTTACCGATTTGCGCTCCTTGTTCGAGCGGTAGGCGATTGGCGACTGATTTCAATTTATCGACTCTTTCTTTTGGTTTGCAGGAAATTCAGATTGAGACGAGTAAGAAGATTGCAGAGACGACGGAAGTCCTCGAGGAGGTCGACGAGCTTCTTGGAGCCATGTCCAGAACCGCTAAGGGCTCGCCCCAAAAAGTTCTCGATCGACACTCCCCCCCGGTGAGGATGCCGCCGATGATTCGGCCGACCTCAATCGGTGACCATTTGTGATCTTTGAGCTTAAAACAATTCCTCAATTCCAGACAACAGAATCACCCGAGGACCTTGCTGACGTTCTGGAGGACTGTCATGGAAACGACGAAACGTGGGCACTTGGACTGTTCCGGAATTCCCCCCCGACGTGCGGCGGGACGGGCATCGTCGACGAAGTCCTAAGCTACTTGAGAAATTTCTGCAGCCAAACGTTCAATGATGATCTTCTTCGTGCTTCATTGAGGACGCTGATATGCTCGATGGTAAGCCTTAGACGAGCCGAACGTCTACTGGAATGTGCGCAGCAGACGAGGGATGACTTCGAGTCGTCGGATTTCGAGGAATGAGGACCCTCGAGATCAGATGAAATTTCGAGGCATAGTCGATTGCCAGACGTCTTTGATGGACCCGAGTCACGCCTCGAAGTTTGTGTCGCGCCCGTGTCCGGGACGAGAGAGACCTCTACTTTCGCTCATTTTCATCCGGCAATCTTTGTCTCCATCACAACTTGAAATTTATTAGACAAAACATCATAGAGTCTATCGGAGCGCTGTTTCGATCCCTCTCGGCGAGCCTCGATCGATCGTTTACTAAATCAACGCAAGGGAACGGATCAAGCAACCCTTCCCGGAACGAGAGAATAAACGGCCCCCATGCCTTAGTTGGACGCTTTGGGACACCTTGTCTCCCCCCAGAAACGACGACGATTTCATTCCGTGACCTAAAATTCGTTCCTAAAGTTGTCGACTTGGGCGCCGCCGCCATGTCTCTCATCTTGATCTCTCGCCGTAGTCATCCTCTCGAGGAACGACGACGAGTGCATCCTCGTCGGACTCGGTTGAATTCCAGGGCTGCTCGTCGGTGGTGCCGAAAAGGAGGAAGATGATCGAGCAAATTGTCGTGAGAATGGCTGTCACCACGAAGGCGAGATTCCACCGCGTCAGCGTGTTCTGAAATGCTCTGACTCAATATCGACGACGATTTCCAGCTCAAGTTTTCGCGAAGGATTGTCGAAGGAACCAGATATGAGTTTGCTCCACGGATCCCTTACATGGTATTGTGTCAATTTGCCGACGAGGAGAGGCGCAACGATTCCAGCGAAGTTTGCTAGAAGGTTCACGACTCCTTGCACGGTGGCGGCATAGTTCGGAGCCAAATCCAATGAGATCGAGGTATCGCCGCCGCCCATGAATCCAACGAACACACAGTTGATCAATAGAATGCCCAACACCAAGGGATAGTTACAATCGATGGCCGAAATGATTGCAAGGCAAAGCGAGGGTATCAATGTGGCTGAAAGGAAAAGTTCGAAAATCGGAATATGCTCCTGCCCCAGACGACACGATTGAGACCAAATTTTGGTCGTCGGGCATCATGAATTTCGTGCGTCGATGTTGTCTCAAGGTCTGATTTGAGAACGGAAACTCGAGCCCTCTCCGCACGAAGCTCTTCGATGTTTCGCTATCGGCAAGCGAATGCAGAAAGGCCTCGGAGAAACGTACAGCATGCGACAAAGAATTTCCTGGTGAAGTTCTTCGAGAAAACTTCTTTCGTGATCAATATGTCCACGATGACTCCAGTCCCAACCACGGCTATCGCTAGGCCGAGGTTCATCCCACCGTTGATCCAGCCATTCTGGAAAGGGAAAGTATTTTCATTGATTCCTGAGTCGACCTCCTACCGATTCCATCTTTCTCGGTCGGGAGCGATTTTGTTTGTCGGTCAAAACGAGCTGAAGAACTCACGTCGACGATGTATACGCCGTACATGGAGTTAAGGTAGGTGGGTAGTTCAGTGAGCATCATGTAGAAGTTCAGAGAGCCTCCAAATTTCATCAGTCCCAGCAGCAGAACGGGGGGAGACAGCAGCATGTCCTTCCACGGGACCTTGACGATAAGAAGACTGGAGATGAGAACGAATTCCATGAAGAGAGTCAACGGATCCCTATTTCCAACAAAGCGACTTACGGGCTTCTGATTTTTGTTCTTCGGCGGCCGGTGCTCGAGGATGTATTGGTGCTCCTCATTTGAGATCCAACGATGCTTTTCCGGGGCGTCTGCGGCAATCAGCAGCCAGACAAAAGTCCACAGGACCCCCGAGAGACCTTGAGGAGGGCGAAATTTTGTGAATTAGCTCATGGGCACTCTCGTAGATTGGATCGCGATGGGACTGCTCCGGCATCGTTTTCACCATCTCATCTAAACCCTCACCGAAAATGTAGAAAGAAGCGGGCCATCCTAGGTATGATTTACACAGCATTGCCGCAGCTGGCATTGTGATGACGCTGCCAACGATGCTCCCAGAGAGGATGAAATTCAACAAGAAACTTTGCTCTTCAATCGGCACCCAGTTGGAAACGAACGCGAATATTCCGGGGTAGATCACGCCCTAGGAAATTTAGGGTCATGATTTAGAAATTTGGATCTTGAGCAGAGCCCCATTGCGCTAATCCAGGGCATTCCATAATCCTAATTTCACGCGAGAAGTGCGTAGAATGAGCAACTCTGCGTGGCATCCGAGATCATGAGAAAATCTCGCGTCATTCCGGAACCATGGGAAAAATTTAAGGCATTCCCGAAAAAAGAGGCCGATGGCTGGAGCCCACTCCAGACAAACAGATCGTGAAATCCCCGTACCTCGGTGAAGCCTTCGAGCACGCGGAGGCCGACGAAAGCGTAGAGGTTGAATCTGGCCGCAATCGAAGTGAGACAAGTGAGCAGACCGGTGACACCGACCCCCGCAGCCAGCACCAAAGTCAAGCGGCGTTCGGCTACAGCCCCGCCGGGAATCTGCGAAATCGGATAGCCGACGAAGAAGGCATACATGATCATCGCTTGTTGGTCTCGATCCCAGAGGAATTCACCCGGCTGAAAAATAGAATTCAGCTCGGAAATCGCGGAGCACGTCACCTCGACTGAGCATCGGATCCATGCTCGATACAGACTCGACGTGATACGCGCCCATACCCATAGAAGCGACCCGTGCATGAAGCATTACCCCGAAATCATCCGACGTCCTGTTCTGTCGTGGAACGGAAGCTCGACAGGATTCATTGTCGAGAGGGACGGCATCTTCACTGGTTCCATTGACCATAGCGGTAATGGCGACAGACAAGTTGAGTCTCATCGCATACACGAGGAAGCAGCCCAGGAAAAGCATTCCACTCAAGATGTAGCGGACGGCAAATATGCCCCCAGCTGCAAATAAGAATAGGTTTTCGACTCGAACATCCTGGTATTCCGATTCGGATATTTCGTCATGTCTAGTATTCGGAACGATCGGGGAACGAGGACAACATGCCAACCGCTGGAAGATTGGAGATCTCGAAATCAGAACCGATCAATCACGGATCACGAGCGAATTTTAGGTCTGGCCAGCGACGCAAGTAAGTATCAAAGAGAACTTCAGAGAAGAGGATGTAGGGAGCGGCATGCTCCTGTTTCGCGAGACGTTCCCGCGAATCTGACTCGTTCAATAAGGAGACAGAGTCACTGCTTCTCCCTGCACTACTTGGATTCTCCATCGCGCCCTCAGCAGGGCTCCCGCATCTTCCGCGAAGGGAGGGAGGAAGTTACTCACCGCGGGATTTCTTGAATACATCCGTTTGATTCATTGCGTAGTGGATGCTAGAATATCCTATAATAGAACCGTGGGTCAATTCTTCGTCAACGACTCCACCAGGTTGATCGAATGCACCGGTGGGATCCTTTCCTCTAGCGTCTCTGAGCCGAACCATGTGCTGCTCTTTCGATATTTGAATGAATTTGCTAATTCTAATCGTAGGGATTAAATAGAATCCATTTCGCGCTATAGGTCACAACCTTTTAATCTTGTCCTTTACCTCTCGCCATGATCGATGCCTTCGTGCACCTCCACGAGTACGTGGGCTTTCACTATCATCGAGCACTACCGGCACTCGCAGCGTAAAGTGTTCGTCTGATGATGGTCTAAAGCGGGTGCTCCTCGCGGGCAGCGGGAAGGTATCCGAGGCTGAGGGATAGGTAGGGTACGCATGGGCATCAAATCTAATCGTGCTGCGGAGGTGTTTCAAATTGCGACGAGAGGAGCGCCAACTCTCGAAATCTACCTAACCGTCTCACCCAGTAACTCCCCAGACACAGCTTAGTAATGACAATCTTATCAGCCGATTTTTATTCAATCTAGAATTAGTGAACGATGGTTAGGTTCCGGTCAGCGTCGTGCTGTCGAGAACTGGCTCCTGGAGATCACTCTCAATAGCTCAGGGAGCCCGCGAATGACGACCGTAATGCCGACGCGCTCTGCTATCGGGAAGCCTCTCGCAGCTGTCGGTGCGACGGCAGGAATTAAGGGTCGCGGCGAAAGCCACGATGAAAGTATTCGAATACGGACTCGCTGATCCCGACATTGTATCTTTGACCAGTGATCCCCTATTTTAGGCGCTTTTGGGCTTCAAATCGAGTTCATCCGTCCTTTGGCAAATATTTAGTACCTTCGAATTCGATCACGTAGACGGTGACGATCGCTTGGGCTCTGTGAGGAGCGGAATCAATTCGCGATTTCACGTCCCGCCATCTGCGACTGACTGCGCCACCGTAAAGACGGGGGATCGTCACTGCGAAGGCCCGCTCCCGATGGCTGGCGACTCGCATAATATCGAGAGACTAACCGATCTGTCGAAATATCCTTGATGAGTTCGTCTCAAGTCCCGACGAAGAACGCACATTCGCGTTACTTCGCTCGGAGCCTGTCCTCTTGTCAAGGGCAGGGGACCGGAGTCAGGGGAGGCGCGGATGGGTACCAGTGTAGGCACGACGTCGAAAACGAGGACGATTCCAGAAGAGCCGATTCCTAGGGGACGAAGCAGATATTACGAGAGACCGCACATCGGAAAAATGTCGTCGAAGTCGAGGCTCATCAAGTTTCGTGCTTCCTTCGTTCATCCGTCACTCCTCATAAGCTAGACAACAAAGCTCGAAGAGTCATCTTGAGCCGCAGGCGGTCGCAAGAGTTCGATAAACTCTCCTGACATCAATTTGTTGACTTGTCAGAATCACGTCACTGTATCTGTCCTCGTCCAGTCCTCCGCTACCTGTGTTCCGCAGCGGTTTTCCGATGTCATATCAGGGTTCATACCGCATTGAGGAACGGGCGAGTGCATGGAATGATTGTTCGGTACCTCCTTTTAGTCACCACGTATTCTTCGGATTGCGACTCGATGTTTTCTATCTGAGAAAGTGACCGATTCTCGACGCTGAAAAACCAGCTGACCGAGCTGCCCCCTGCTCCTGAAAATCAGCGGTGTGACATTCATAGAGCTAAGCCTTGCTTGGAGATAAGGACTCAACCTCCAGGATAAGCCTGGAAATCGATTCGCAAAGCAATCGGCGAGTTATGACTCCTTCGACGACCGCATAGCAGGCGTGATATTCCGCCATGAGCCCTCCGGAAGGAGGCCGACGGAACTTGCCCCGTAAACTTGAGGCCATCTCGTCCGCCGTAATCTCGCTCGGAACTCCTAGCTCCAAACATCACGAACGCCAGGCTCCCCGGTCATTTCTCCTTGTCTCCTCGCCACCCAAAAGGCGTGGAATTCATGCGGGTCGATCGGGTGTTTCAAGGAGTGAATGGAGACAGGGCATCTCCTTGAGCAGTCCTCCGCCGCAGTCTAACGACAGAGTGTGGCGAAGTTATTTTTGCTAATCCCTCCAAGATTAGAACCGACTTTGACCGTTGAACTGCGAGGATGGCGGTGGTATTGCTGTATCATCCTTATATCATAGCTCTACAGTCGTACGCTCGGCTTTAGCGGCGTGAGGGTACTTCCGGGCCTCGGAGGTCCGCCAGAGATGGGACCGTGATTGGGAGCCTGCCGAGGGAACCCCGAAACTTGGGAAATGGTTTCCTACTTCGCAGAAGTCCCGAGGCCAGTCGACCTCCTTCCGTGAGAGTCTGAGACTCGTACCTCTGAAAAATGGGAGGATGGGTCCGCGTATCACACATACTTATGATAGGCATAGATCTCATTCGGAGCGGGTATCCGACGCTATCGGGTTTGTCACGCATATCTGGAAGGACTTCGATCGTAGCCTTCTGAAACTTCCAGCATCTCCGAACGATGAGCCGAAGCACTCATTCACGTTAGGAGGACGGCAAGTCTCATCTCTGTTGATGGGAATGGCGCAAAAGCTCTTCGATCCGACTGATTCCAAGGTAGGATCGCTGGGCTATACAATGAACCCACACCCTAGGTCCTTTTGATGTTTTCGTGGTTTGGGACAGCTACAGCAACAAGAGTCGGACAGAATTTCGATACTTCCTCTCGAATGCTTGAATATTTCTGACATCGCGGAGTCAAATGCAAGATCTTGGTGGATGTGATTAACGCTGGACGGAGCCGTCGTGTCGCATCTGGGATGGCAGCCACGGGGACATTCAACTTCATTAGAAACTCAGCTCGATCAGGAGGCGACTTCCGTATCGACGGATAGAGTCGCCCGTCTCCACCGAGGCTCTCTAACAAAATCATCGTCATCATTGTGTTCACTTTCTCTCCGATTGGACTCTTCGCAGGATTCCATGCCGTGCTCGCTCTGCTTTCGGTAGAAGAATCACATGAGCAATCGAGCCCCCACCTCGATCGGTCATCTGGAAGAGCCAGCGGAACTACAACGTCGTGCACTCCATCAAGCATCGGAAGCGAGTTTCCTCTCAGAGTCTCCTCTCCTCCAGGCGGCAACATCAGCATAAGAGATTAAGAGAGAAAGAGTAAGAGTAAACAAAGCCGAATCTCTGCTATTTCCATCCCGAGTGCTGATCACGTTTCTTCTTCAATCTATTGGTGAGTGAATGCTAGAAGATTTCCGATACCGCGGAATCGAATGCGAGATCCCGTTCAGTGTTATTTCATCGCTGTCGACTGCCCGGACTGCCTTGTGAGCCTGTTGCGTCTCTTCTTGTCAACACTCGTGCCTCGGCACACGATTTTGCTGCCGTCGGCGGCGGAGGAAGCCGCTGACAAAGCCTACCGAAACCCGTACGTGGTGCCACCGACACTGAGCGAACTGTATCATATATCGACACAAGCAGAGGAAGGCGTCTTCACGCCGACGGTTTCGAGATTCCTCCGCGAAACTTGCACGACTTCTCGCTTGGTTTCTCGGAGATACATCGCATCGGTTCGATTCCGCTGCGGATAAGCTCTTCCGGTATCAGATTAGTTATCGGTCAGGTGCGTCATTAGGTCTGCTGACGTCTGGCCAGAAGAACTTCGGAGTAGGCAGTCATTCGAGAACGGGGCGTTGAACAGAATCTCCTTGGCAACCAAACTTGTTCTTTTCCATCCCAGATCGTTTGTATCCCTCAATCCCTCGATATAAGGAAAAACAACCATGGATCCGTATCAGCAACAATCGCAGCAATCGCAACAGGGACACATGATGGGGGGCGACTCTCGCGCCCGAGGTTAGTTCTGTCGAATCGAAACTCTCCTACGCGTGTCTGGGACGACCGAAGTCGAGACGGCGCGGCATCATCCGCACCTCTATTGATTGGGATGTCAGATATATTATTCGTTCATAAGATACCTGGGAACTTGGAATTAAGTTCCGTAGGGGTCATCCGAGTTCTCTCCGGAGTTCGTTCGGGCTGAGTCTCCTATTCAGTTGATAACTTCGTTCTCTCTCCAGTCATGTTCAACAAGGCTCACAGTGTGTGGATGGGAGATGTCGAACCATTCATGAACGAAGAATTCATTCGAAACCAATTCACCGAGCTCGGCTTGAAGGTCATCAACGTTCGGATCATGCACTCGAACAAGTTTCAGGATCAAAATCTGACCTATGCTTTTATTGAGCTCGAGGATGAAAGGACCGCCATAAGGTAAGCGGAGCTCCGGTTGGACTCGTCAGCCAAAGCGTTCTCTCGAAATTCATCAGAATCCATTCGCCCAATCGTCGGATCAGTTGCTAATCCCTTTGGATGCTCGGATTCCAGGACCGTGCAGCGGTACAACGACAAACCCTTGCCCGGGGACCCACGTCGGAAGTTCAAGTTGAATTTCACGTGTCAGTCACAAATTAAACAAGCCCAAGACGAGAATGGGCTGTTCGTCGGAGAACTCAGTCCCGACGTCGATGACCTTATGCTGTGGTCCACGTTCCAGGAACGTTATCCCAGCGTCAAGTGGGCGAAGGTAGAATCCTCAGTCCATGTGAACATGTATCCGACCGGGACTGTCCGGTTTCCGTATCTCCTCACCTTTTCGGGCAACTGAAGGTTTGTTTCTCTTCATAGGTGATCAAGGACCACAACGGCATCAGCAAGGGGTTCGGTTTCGTCAAGTTCAATCATGATGAAGAATACAATAAGGCTCTCTACGAGATGAACGGTTACACTGGGCTAGGCAGCAACGCCATCCGTGTTTCAGTAGCTACGCCCAAGTGAGTTGTTCTGACCGTGTGAATACGGGAGGAACGTGACTTCTATAAGACGACAGGCTAAGAGCTCGAACATCTGCACATCAATGTGGGGTACGCCCCTTGTCTCCGCAAATTGATCTATCTGTCACGTTTTCAGGGAAAGGCGAAACCCCCAGTCACAGTGGCACTCAAACCCAAATAACCCGATGGTCGCCCATCATCAGCAGCACATGCAGTACTTCAACCAAGCGACTGCGGGATTCCAATCTCAGAGCGATTACTACAACTACTATTATCCTCAAGGAGGATCTTATTACGCGCCCCAGCAGTACTACGAGCAACAAATGCGGCAACGCCAGGAGAAGGTGGGTCATTTGAAAAAAATTGTCCCAGTCAGCGGCAGGCCGCCGGATTGAGGCTGGCTCAAAACTTGATCTTCCGATTTTTCGCTCTTCAGGGTGACGGCCGCAATCCTGACCTCGAGGACCAAGGTGAGCACTTCTACCCTGCCTTGAGAGACAGACTCGTCAGCTCCGACCTACAGGGCGAACTAGAAGCCGCCTACTACAGCGACGTGCCTCTCATCGTTAAATGAATCTATCACGTAGCAGAATCGCTCCGCTTGTATCATTTCTGTTTCTTGTGACGCTTCGGGCAACAGGTGTATAACCTGTCAATAAACCGTGGTATTCTATCAGAAGGTCCCATTCATAATATTGATGCACGTCTCTAGCACTCGAGTATTCGACCTGGGCAGAGATCGGGTGCGGCCCTTTAGAGCGATCGAGACTAGCTTGACAGAAGCCCCGAGCCTGATGATTTTGAGCCAATAAGGCTGAGTCGTAGGTGCTCTCTGGGATGTGTTCTGTGTGTGCTTGGCACTCGGCGATGAGAACAGAGCTTTCCCTCGGCCGTGGATCCCGACGCGATGTCCGCCCTCGTTCCTGATTTCTTGAATAACAGAGAGCGCTTTCTAGTTCATGTTCGGAAGGAGTTGTTTAAGACGATAGGTACTGTCCGCTCGATGACTTGGTAATGAAAAACTGATCGATCTTGCCTATGCCCTACCACGTCCAGTGAGCCTCGATTGTTCTTCGGATGTTCTGGGAACCGGGCAATCGAACGAAAGCAGGGATACACGAGATTCTTGTGTCCTCTCCTCCGGATCTCCGATCAAGAATGATTTCATCGAGCCTTCCCGTTCGAGCAGAGCTTGGAATCCGCGGAAACTGAAGGATATACGACGCAACTGTGGGCCATCTCATGATGTCCTGTATTGTAGTGGACCATTGTGTTGTAGAATTCCCTCACGAAGGGTCCTTCCGCCTCGGAAAGCTCTGTAGAGAACGACGGCTTAAAGTCGAAGCTGAATTTGCTTTCGGGAGCATCATGTGATGTTGGCTGGCCCGGACCTCGACAGATTGCTAGCGTGGAAGATCGAGTTTTTTCTTGTCCGATCAATTTCAACATGACGTCCTAGTCTTCTGTGCTGAAGCGTTCAGTGACGGCTACGGGGCACTTCAGGGCGGGTATGAGCCAGGTCGTCATCATCTTCTCAATTCTCAAGAGCGAAAGAAATCCCGCAGCTCATTGATCAAGCGGAGGCAGGAATCTCGCACACTCGAGCAATGCTAAAGACGATTTTTCTTAATAATAGGATGTTTTATTCTTCGCTAGACAGACACTATAATAATATTCGAGGTGATCACGTCGATCATGCCGTCATCGAGAATAATAACTTTCTTCAGAATTTTAAATTTTAGGCCATCGTTGTTTTTTTCGCTCAATCACAGGGATTCACGCCATCCCGCAGATCAGCTATAGCGCGATAACTAACAAAACCCAACTTCGCTGGTCTCTCCGCTCCCTTTCCCGCGTGAAGATTCTCTGCTCGATGTTGTTCATACGTTTCCGACTTCGGGTACATCTTGTTGAGGACGCTCCATTTGGTCGGCTCCTAGAATCTAGATCATTGATTCGGATATCACGCTACGAGCGAGGCCAACAGTCGCCGTCAGTGAGCGTGATGATCAGCCTAGGTCCCTTAATAAAATATGCATTCTTAAACGAAGGTGAGATACTCGCGAAAACTATGGTCTGCTGCCGATAAGCGGCTTCACGCATCGCGCATGTTTTCTGGAGGCTCTCGAGAACGTTCAAGCGTCGGTGTGATGCTTCTCTGAGTTCATGTGGGCGTTCTTCCGTCACGGACTTAGGCTCTAGGAATCCGTAGCGATGGTTTGTTGTGTTCATATGCCTTCAGGATATTCCGTATTTTATGTACAGCGACCGCCGTCTCTTTGAAACGCCATCGATATTTATATATGTAATAATTATGTATACGCAATTTCTGCAGTTCCTGCGAATGACACCGGCTGCTTCTAAGACGGTCTCACCCTTGGGATGAATCGTTTAGCGGCGATTCGTCGCAGTTTGTGATTCAAAATTACGGAAATAACGCACTCGATCAGTGATTTTCCTCTGAGGTCTCCATTGTTTTTTTTTTCCTTTGTTTTTTCCCGTTGTCATTATCTCTCCTCCACGGAACATAGTACATGGAAGGAGCTCCTAGCAACCGCAGTTATCTTGACGAGAAGAAGATGTGGGCAGGGGAGAGAGTTTGATCTGATCGGGAAACTCGTTGTAGAGCTCAACTTCGTTCTCTTGCGCCTGAGCATTGCGAGCGACAGTAGCGAAGGCCTCGTCAACGTGGAGAGCCTCTTTCGCCGAAACCTCAAAATACGGGATATTGTTCTTGGACTGACACCACGACTGAGCTCGCTTAGTCGTTATCGAGCTGAAATACGGAAGAAAAAACATAAGATCAGAGCCAACTGGATCGCGGAAGGAACTCCTCAAACGAGCCTCGATATCACCGAACTTTCCCTCACCGGTTTTCCAAATCAATCTTATTCCCAATTACAACGAAGGGGAAGTTCTCGGGATCTTTAGGCGACGATTGGATCAGGAATTCATCTCTCCAACTTTCGAGACTTTTAAAAGTGGTCGGCGAAGTGACATCGTACACGAGCACGCAACAGTCCGCACCTCGGTAGAAGCCGACTCCTAGGGATTGGAAACGCTCTTGACCAGCGGTATCCCAGATCTGCAATCAGAAGCCATTCTTGAGTTTCCGCTTCCGGCGATTCATTCTGGGAACAAGGTGTATCACGCCTGTCTTTACTATCACGATTCGAATCACCTCTACCGCGGTCATCATGAGATATGCATCGGTGACGAACCTGCAGTGTGATCAACTTGTTGTCGACCATGACTTCTTTGGTTTGGAAATCCGCTCCTATTGTGGCTTTGTATTGGTTGGTGAATTTTTTACTGACGAACTGATTCATGAGACAGGTTTTGCCAACCCTGTGGATGATGCTCGGTTATCACATGCTGACACAGACATACCACGTCATAGCTATAAGAGAATGATTCTAACTGAGTAGGTCTTCCGAGCACATACCCGGAGTCACCGAGGACGATGACTTTAAGGAGGACCTTCTTTCGGTTGGACATTCTGAACTGGGAAGATTTACTTCACTGAAAGAGAATCGAGGAATTATTCGCCTGCCGAACTTTCAAGCAGCACTCCTCTCGAAAACGGCCATTCGACGCCTGGAGGAGAGGGGAAACGGGGGTCCCGCTCGCAGCGAGGGACCCCTCTCTGGAATAATCTAACAACGTGAATCTCCGATTTGCGCACATGATTCACATCGACTTCTAGCTAACGCGTACCGCGTACTCAGACCGCTAGATCCCGGACTTGATTTCTCTCGGACCCGGCTCGACACTCTCGGAATCACTTGCAGAACTCCGCTTCATCGAAGCTTGCTAGTCAGTTCTGCAATCTGGATACCCAGTTCGCAGGGTGACGTCAAGAACCATGAGTCGATCGTAACCCTTGCATGCATTCGAGAGGTGAGAGCTTTGTTACCAACACCAGAATCGAATCACGGAACCAGAGTGATCTGATACCACGCGAAACCTCGCTATCAGGCATGGGTCTCATGACAAAACGATGAGAATTAGGATAGTTCATCGATCGATTTAAATTGACGACTCGGCTATCAGCTGATTCAAAAGGGGGGGCTCAACATTCAAAGCAGGACGCTTGATCCAGTACTACCGCGTGTTCTCATCATAATGATTCTTGTGGAGAGCAGCAGACCCATCATGAGATCGAGCGGTGATGACTCGTCAGAAAGAGATTTAGGAAGAGATTTCTCTGCTACGCATTCGGTCGGAGACACCGGGAGGGTAGGCGGGAGAGAATGTCGAATGGACGATCCCGGATCACTTCGCATCAAGATTCTCATCGCACATGAGTCAACACGTCGGCCGGACACGTCACGAAAAAATGGGGCGCGATATCCTCGTCTACCGTAAAACCTGCTCTCGCGTCGGTTCAATTCATTCAATCTGCGCCTGATTGAGAACCTGGAACACGGCTTAGTGGTAGGCGCAGATGTGATAATTCGGGGGAAATCAGCGCGGTCGCAGAATCCACTCGCAGGCGAGCATCTAGATCTCGATACAATCTGTCGATGACGTCAGCGGTATCATCGAGCGCTCGCCCGAGTTGGAGCTCTAGCTCGATGTCGTTTCCAGTGCTCTTAGACCCCCGGGAGAAAATTTGACGGATGCCAACTTTTTTTGGTGTAGAACTCCTCGTACGCAGGTCACGGCGACACATTCGTCCCTCTCAGATGTCGATATTTTACTCCGGAATCGCAGCTGAACGCTCCCAACAGTGTTTACATGGCAGCGAGTGATTACCTTCGGGAGGGTTGGACGAGCTCCAATATCAGACGAAGAAATGGCTCGGCGAACCGCGGAACAGCTCTCGAATTTCTCGCCAGCCGGAAGTCCTCCTTGGCTTTGGCGTTCGCACGAGGAAACGAACGACCACCGATGTGTCGATGAGTCGCCGAGTTCTCGATCTATTATTATTATCGTCGAGAGAATGTTGGAAATCTAGCTACCACAAGTGATCCACAAATGGAATGTGGCCCATGTAGGATGGAGGTCCCGGACGCTATCCAAAAAGGCAGCCCCGTGAGATCTTTTCCGAGCTCAGGTGGATTAAAGTAAAAAAAATATCGCGGGGAAGCCTCGTGACCACACTCGATGATCCGCCTATCTGCGAATAGGAGCCGTGGCCACATCACCGTAGTGTAGAACAAAGTAATCACACGTCTGCTCGTGGCTCTCGCAAATACAGTGAGGAACATCGATCTTCGTCAGATAGTCCGAAGATATTCAGAGACTATCGCAAGATGAATCACAAGAGCTTCCTCATTGCCGTGTCGAGAAGTCAGGCAAAGAATTCCGAGTCGGAGCACCTGCTCCGGACATGCGCTCATGATAATCTTGAAGAGACATACTGCGAAGAGGCTGCGTAATTGAGTACGGTTGCGTCATCAACTTAAACGCAGTAATGATTCGTCGAAAGCTAAGCGAAGGGAGCTTGATCGCCAGTGACGTTTCCACAACCGTCACCTGGGGTTCGCACAATCGAGCGTCATGTCGTTGACGTCGAAAACGTAAAATTGATCGAATCGCCCCAACGTTAACCCCTCTCAGTCGGAGGGAACACTCTGTCATCAGCTCAGCTGTCCAAGATCTGGTGGTGGTGCCTCGAGAGGGACTCAGGCATAGTTGGCCATTCGCCACGCATCGAACGGTGCCCGTTGCTTGATCCAGTGAATGTTTTCCCGAACCGCGGGACATGATCGACGAACTCGATTCGAAAACCTTCACGAGATCGTAATTCCAAAGGTTCTTCACAATTGAAGAATCATTGGCCTTCGAAAAGTCACTTCGACCGCAGGTTCGGATCAAACGGAAGTTGAATGAACATCTCCACATGTGGGCTTTCCGATAACTCACCAAAGAGGCTGTACCGTGGAACGAACAAACGAAGACTCTGTGGGCACGAACGTAGAGACCGATACGACGACGATCTTTCTACCACACAAGTACACTGCTGGATGATACAAGATGGCCGATCTCGCTGCTGCGGGGAGAAGCTTCAAGCAGCTGAGACCTTCTATGCGATCCAAAGCGCGGCCGGATTCGATTTTGTGCTCACCTGGAGCTTGGAGCGGCCGTAGAGATATTTTCACAGTCACGATATGACAATGAGGCGAGTTTCGGTAGATCTTCTTCTTGATCGTGTTCTGAATCGCTATTCCGTGCTCTGGAGCCCGAGCATTTGGCTCGCATCCGCCTTGTAGATGTGTACATCCGCGCACTGTATCCATTGTCTTCCGTTGATTTTCAATTACCGTACTCAATCATGTTGGGAGCCTGCACGCCATTCCCTGCTGTTGATAATTGGGGGAAGTATTCACGGAGTACATTGATCCCTTGATCGTCGATCGCCAATCGCCAATCGCCAATCACCACCCACCAGAGTCAGGGTATCGAGCCTGCGGCGCGAAATTTCCATTCCCCTCCGAAGCAGAAAATCTCGAGCGAGTCGAAATCAGTATGGCGGTGGATTTATCATGAAGTATCCCGAACATGCCCTCCAAATTAAGGGGTCCCGGTCGAAGAGCATCGTAGCGGCGTAGAGTACTCGTTGTGCTCCAACTCGGTCCGTCTACGTCTTGGATCCATTCCTCGAGTTCAGCCCCATTCAATCGGAACTAGCTCCCCCGATCGACGAATATGCGCGCCAAGAATGACATGGATAGCTGGAGATGGGAAATCTAGAAACTCAATCGACTTGAGAAGTTTTTGCCTCCCGAAATCGTGACAGGAATAGTCCTTATCTGCTGCGTGCGTCTCTAAAGAGACAGATTCATTTCTCGATCGTCCATCGATAGGTCTGAAGGACTCTTGCATGCTCCCGTTAGGGAGAACGAGCATCCGCGAATTCAGCAACGAATGGATTCTCACTGCTTAGCGCTGGCTCATCACCAACAATTTGGATCTCCTGAGATCCTGGAAACCGGTATTGTTTGCAGTCATGGTGTGAGCAAACGTGCGTGCAGCAGTCATGCTCCTGCCGCCCCACACGCGGCAAATCGTGGACCCGGTCAGCGGCGAGAAATCTCCGGTGGAGCCACCCTGAGTCCTTTCGTTAGGGTCATAGCGTCTCTGAACATGACCCTAGATCCTCAGATCGTTGATAATGTAGGTTGGGGCAATCGCCTGCCGAACGGGACTTACTCCTGCTCGGTGGCTGCCGCACCCTGTGCACCTTTGAAATGTCGACAGCGATTTTCGATCCGTGAGTTTAATTCTGAGCCTATGCTACCTCATTCTGCCTTTCGTTCTGCTCCTTCTGCAGAGAGTACGTCCACGGGGATACGGGTCCTAGACGCTTTTGAAGTCATCGCTTCTGCAAGCGCCGGCCGACTTGAGACACATAGTCCACAAGTCCACACCCCGTCCCGGCTGATGGTAGTTTCTTGGGGTGCCCGATTCTTCATCATCATGCACTTGTTGTCGGGCGTTCTGAGGTCGCACACAGCAATTAAACCGCCCGTAGAGTTAATCGACAGCTTCAGCCAAGTGCCCCGAGGTCCCTCGATCGAAGTCATGGCTTGGACTACTACTTCAACTCTGCTCGCGCTGAAAGAGAGGCGCGGTGCGTGGGTTCAGATCCTCAGAGACCGCATTCAGAGAATGAACACCATCATAGAGGATATGGAGAAGATCTTCAGTGAAGATTGCATCCAAAAGATACTAGATGAAACAGCGGTTTTCGTCCAAGAGCCGGAGACAATGCTCGATGGAGGCGCTCCGCTATGCGAGCAGAATAGAGTTTTTTTCCACATTAGCGAGAGGGATACCGTGGAAATCGGACTCTTCTGGTATTACTCGCCGAAACTGGATAAAGAGACGGGAGCGCTCATTTCTCTTAGGACAATCGATTGAGCAGCGTCGGGAGCGCGTGAAAAGCCACAGCTAGTCTTCCGATTCTGGGAAAAGTCAATGGAAAAGATTACCTACTTGGCAGGGATACGTCACTTGATAGGCCAGCTAGGAGTGGAACCTCGATATCGGGAGAGCTGAACGAGATCCATCGTGCCATATTCAGAAACTGCTAGACAATCGCAAGCTCACCCGTAAATTTAGTTTTAGAGCTCCCCCATTCGTGGGAGTAAAAAGATTCAGGATCGTTAAAAAGGGATTGAATCTATTCAAATTGGATGATTGAATGAATAAATCATAATCAAATTAAATCATTTAGGATCAAGTTATACAAATCGATTCAGAAATGGATCGCGGCCGCTCCTATCCTCATGCCTGAACATCGCTCAGCCGATAGGGGTCCGTCTCAGAGGAAGAGTACGCTCCCCTAGGTACCTCTATCGATACTATATTTCACCGATGAGCGGTCGACTTCCCCGGACGAATTCGGTCTCGAACTCTCGACACGGACCGAAATACCAGCGACGCGGAAATGGTGAAAGACACCATGCTCGGACATATTTTAAGTATTTAGAATCCAAACTCCCGGGGGCGACTCCTCGACATGCATGAGGGAAGCATCTCACAAAACGTGACACGTGGAGGAACATGCACATGTCTGTCATCCGGGAGCTACCTGCTCAAATGATTAAGACCGTTCCGAATGATATAGCTTGTTTTCATATTGATTGGTGAAATCGCTCAGGGTAGCCTGATAAGGATCTTCGCGAGGACCGAAAGAGACATTTCGAAGTGCAAGCCGCGGAGGGAAAGATGGCTGAACTACTACCAGAGGTTTGCATGGAGAATCATTCACGTCTCAAAGCTTCCCTGCTCGGTCATTCAACGAAAGGAGCCCCGCGAGAATCCTCTACCCCGATCGGCTCGGATTGTGTCGCAACTAAGGAGAGCCGCTTGAATCCGCAGCTGCTTGAACAAATCTTTCTCAAGCTCGATTTGCGCGATCGTCTCAACTGTGCCCGGACTTGTCGTCGATGGGCTGACGTGATGGGCAGTGAAAAAATGACGCAAGATGCAGTCTTCAGGTTCGGGAAAGCTGATATGGAAAAAAGTTGGGAAGCAATGATCAGCAGTCGGCGAGCGTGCAGGAACCTCAAGTTCATCGAAGGTAATTGTAACTGCATCCGATGAACGCTTTTCAAGAGCACTTTGGCTATGAGAGCAGGTTCAGGCCTAACCCATCGAGCTCTCCTGTCTAAAATAGGCATCATTTTCGCAGTCGATTTGAAAGAAAACTTCAGTAAAATCAAGAGCATCGGCGGAGGCCTCCGTGATTTGCAGCTCGTGAATTGCTGGTGGACGGACAGCATACTTTACCAGATTCTGACAAAATGTACCAAGCTCGAATCCCTCAGCATCTCAGGTATGAAGCCGGCAGCTAGCACGAGCATCCTCGAGCCATGAAAGGCTGCTTGACATTCTCGCTCCAAGATATACACGCGAATGAAAATTGAGCTGCCGATGCCTTTCGGTGCTCTGACCTTCACCGGACTATTTCCACAGGACGTCTCGAAACCAGAAGCCCTGTCGAGAAGAAATCGATCATGTCTCTTCTTCTGGAAACGGATCCTGGAGTCAGCCAAACTTCATCGCTAGGTATGTCCCTGCGGATTCTCATGATGCTCAATGGAGCGATCTCCGGGCCGCCCAAGGCGTACGAATATACTGAAACCTCTTACCCCGATTCGCAGGCCTGTGCCGATCTAGTTCTAAACGGGTCCCCGCGGAGCTTCTCGACGAGGGGAGTCATGCCACTTTCCTGAGTCCTCCCAGGCGAGATGTGATGTATGCTATCGAAGACTCACTGAGCAGCGTGCGTCACCTGTCTCTAAAAGACTGTAGGGGAGAAGCATGGGTGAAGGGGACAACCGACTGCTTCCTCCGTCTGCTGCCGAATTTGATTTCGATATCGCTGAGGAACTGTACACCCGTATACAAGAAGTTTCTGTCCCTCAATTCGAGTTCGATGCCCCTGCTCAAAGATATTGACTTCCAACCAGACTCCCCACGAGATGATGATCCGGAGTTGATAGCGCCTTTCGCAAGAAAATACTCGCAACGTGTCGAGCGTCTGACTCTGAATTTGAGAGGCGTTTCGGAGGAGACCTATGCCCCGATCCTCTCGTGCACTAAATTGAGGCATTTTTCCCTCGAGAAAGGAGCCCGCTTCGGAGATAGTGATCTGAGAGAACTTGTCAGGAACAATCCCGATTTAGAATCGCTGCATATTGCGGATTCTGAATGTCTCTCACAGAAGGGCCTGAGCAACGTAACCCATCTCGATAAACTTCGGCATCTGATTCTGAACGACTGTACTGAGGTCCAGCTCGGCGCGGGAATGTTGGACCGCCTACGAAAGATCGCCAGCTTCAAGCATTTTGAATTTTCATTCGGGGCGAGCTCCCGACACCATCCACGAAACGCGGGAGATTGTGCTCTCGCCCTCGAGATCTCCGGAATACTTGAAGTTCTCGAGCTCCGTCTTGGAAGCTATGGACATCCTTTCAGCCCCTGGAGACACTTAAGAAGCGTCAAACTTTGTCGAGCTCTCGAATCGGATGAGCCGATATCCAACGGAGACGTCGGATCCCAGACCGGGAAGCATTCCATCGATCTCCCCCTAGGAGATGGAGTAATTGAGGCTTTAGATTTTATCCATTTTTCTACCTTAACTATACGGAACTGCGGAGAGGTCACGCATGCCTCCCTCTCCACCTTGCTTGATCGCCACTCCTCCCTAAGAACGCTAAGACTCCTAGATTTCCATCTGGAAGATGAAGTCGTCAAGATGCTACGAGACTCGTGTCCTCGTCTGGAGCAAGACTTGTTAGAAACCTTTAGAGTTTCGGAAAGAGGCGAAACCCTAATCCTCACCTTTGGCCCCAGGCCAATCTAGGGCTGAGATGAAATCCTGTGAGGATCAGCAAGATCGTCGCAGTGCGCTATTATCATGGCGACGCAGCACATTCGGGTGATTTATAGGAGACTGCCACTCGAGTGTTTTCATTAAAAATGTATTTGGGACTCGACTACAGAAAATGGCACGAAGAACGGTTTACAGAACGTGAAGAAAGTGAAAGTGAATAAAATTGTACCTAACATAAGTTGTATAGCGACGTGACTTATCTCGCACACGCTCTATTCTTTTTCTTCTCGAAGATATGTGTCGCAAACTCTGTGTGTCTGACCTCAATGGTCCCGACTCCCCCGAGATATTGCTGACGCACGTGGAGCTTCCGCCCAGCGGACAGTCCGTTTCCCCTGCGCCCGGGCTTGCGTAGATATCGGGCTCGCCGGCGATTCGGAAGGTTTCCATCGCATATCTCCCGTAGCATATCTCTCTCCCGAAAAACGAAATTCCTCCGCCGTATATCCCTATGATGATGGAACGAGGGGCCAATGCCCCGCGATTCTGTTCCGTCAGTTTTCGAGGGAACGATCAAGCCTCTGTTCTCGCCTGTAAGAAGACTAACTAAGAATAAGAAGGGAAACACTGCTGTTGCCTCCCTCGACCCAGCGAACAGCCTACCGAGGTTCCCATCGGCATCGGGGAGCCCTGCATGTTTTTCGAACTCGCGCGCCGAAATCAGCTTAGTCGGTAAACATTCTCTTCTCTCATCTCCACCAATCAAAACCACGTGGCGCTGCGGACTCTCTCTTCGCTCTTCGGACTATTCAATTCTGCCCGTGGACTGCTGCGGCGAGCGCTCCGAGACGAGAACCTCCCAGTGAATGTTAGAGCTTGAATCTGGAAGTCCGCAGAACCAGCACTCTGAATTTTCCCCGAGGCGCCCTTTCTGACAAGGAGCAGCCAGAATGATTACGCCTGAGTTTGACATCGAACAGGATTCGGACACCATATCCCTCACAATTAAATCGCCGTACACAAGAGTAAGTTCCACAAGTCTCATTGGGAGCGCGAGCTGGGATATCTTCCTCTCCTTAGAATCGGTCTGAGCCCTGTCTCCGCGCTTGATTTCCGGGAGGTCTCCGGAAACTCTGCCTGCGCTCGATTTGATCAGAAGGCTCCCGAGAAAGAAATGAGTTCGAACTCGTCACATCTGATTGTATACGGACGTGTATGAGGTTCCGGGAGAACCTCGTTACCTTGGATGCCTGACCATTTCTTTGGAGCCCTCTCTCACTAACATTGATGCTTCGTGGAGTTTCCCCTGACTCGGCGAAAGAAACCCGGTATGACACTTGGTATCACTGATTTCGACTAACCATGCTCCGATCGCCGCTTGCAGATATCGGATGCCGATATGTACGTCCACGAAAATGAGTTAAAATTCTATTCGAAACCATACTTCTTGAGGTGAGCGAAGTCCCGATGATCCTGGAACGTGGCACCCGAGCACCGGGGAGAGGGCGAGAATGAGGAATTTATCCATTTCAGATTGAATTTGCCGGGTAATATACTCTACGACGAGCGCACTGAGACGAAGTACGATGCGGATTGCGGAAAGTTTTTCTTCCGTTTCTATAAAGAAACTCCTGGAGAACACTTTGAGGATCTGTGCTTGCTAACGAAACTTTTGGCTCCGAAAATGAAAGCAGGACAAAAAGCTATCGAAGAAGTCGACGATAGTGAGTGATCGTCATACGTAGCACTTCCTTGACAGACTAGATAATAATTACGCGATTATTCAATCACGCGATCATGCTCATTGAATCATCCCCCTTGCTGAAGTTCGGGGCGAGGATCTCGACGATGAAGACGGTGATATCTGGCAGTTCCATCAAGGAATCCCTGAGAATGAAGAAATAATCGATGGGAGACGATATGGTTTCAACCGCTCCAAAACAGGAGTGATGGGCCGAATGCTAGAATCATTTCCACGTGCCTGTGATATCAAGTAAGTAAACTTCGAGCTTGCCGCGTACCTCATCGAATCGGAGCTCCTGTCTTCCCGCGTACCTCATCGAACCGGAGCTGCTGTCTTCCCGCGTGGAACATCGACTTCGAAATTCGCTTAACATGCGATTCTTTTCATGAAAGGGACCCCGAGAAGTCTTCTGTGAGTCAAGCCAGATCAGAGCGCTTGCGCGAAGAGAACGAGCTTTTCGATAGCGTTCACTTCTTATTCGACTACTTGGAGGAAGGTGGACAGCAAGTTCGAAGAGTGATAGAGACTCAAATGGATTATGAGGCGGTGAGTTGAGCGCGTGACGCATGTTGACCATCACGAATGCGCGGGCCCGGATGGGAAAGATATACAGGCTCCCGGAGCAGAGCAAAACTCCAGCTCGATGAGAACCACCCATGCCATTCCTTCATTGACCCTTGTAACAATAATATCCCTCCGCAGGACATAGACTTCACTCCGGAACAGACGGAGGCTCTTCGGAAACTGCCCGCTCGGAACTATTTGATGGATAGAGCGGAGAAGCTCCGTTGCATATTGGGTCTTGTCGATCTAATGTACGCGTATGCTTACACGAATCGGGTCAATGAAGGCGACTGGAACTCTGAAAGTGGTGAGGGATCGACAAATCGTTTCGTGAATATTTTTAGCTGCGGCGGATTAAGTTTCCTCGGCAACTTTTCTCCGAGATTTACTGGGGCTCGTTGCAGGGTGGACTGTTGCCAAGCTCTCAGCGACACTGAGCCATTTCGAAGAGTTCACATCCATGAAGGCTGTCAAGATATCCTGTATCCGACGAACCCTTGTGTTCCCTCTCATGAGGTCGTACGCCCTCAGCGAGGTCTGCTGGCGGGATGCCGCAGTCATCTTCAAGCGCGGACCCAAATACGTCTTGGCTTGTCTTCTGCAAATTCATGAGGCAATGGAAATGGATGCTGACGGTCGGCATTTGCTCAATGACCTATACATAGATGATTACTGTATCTGGTTGCAACGGCAGTGCAAGCCGAGCCGACTGCAAGACATCTCAGAGCGAATGCTGGGAACCGAGGTTCAGAAAGAGGACATCGGTCTGAACCTCGTGACGCTAGAGAGTAAAATAGCGCATGTACGTATATTGAATTTCGCTGGCTCCATATCATTCATTATTATCTACTTTCGACCCCTAATGTCGGGAGATGGTTCATTACTTGACTCGTTTTGTCTTCCACCAACTAGCTGAAAGATTTGGAAAGCTCGGAAAGCTCGGGAGACTCGGATGATTCCTCATCAACGTCGGCCCAGGACAGCGATGACTACGACACTTGTGAAGAATGTAGCACTTCAGAGGAATCAGATACGACCTCCGAATCGGATACCCCAGAATCCTCGCTATCAACGAACAGAAATCTCTGAGCTCGACGGAGAAGTAGAGGAGCGAGACTACGCACACGAATACCTCTTCATGATGCCCCGCGTTCTCGTGGGACGACTTTGCGTACGTTATAGGGGATCATCGAGGGGGAAATCGACTCCGTGGAATGAAACTCACGGGAGCGATTTGTGAATTTTACAGCTGAACGTTTCAATAAATTTTCTACGAGTCATCTATCATCCCCGGACTCTTCTGATGCCAGTAGAGCTCTCTCCTCATCAGCAGGCGATGATGAGGGAAAGCAGCAGCTGATTATGTCTCCAACATCCGATGGACCCCAGGCTGTCGCTTTCTGAGGAAGCTGCGAGTTCTGACTACGAAGAATTTTGGAACATGATAGTCTCACGTGGTTGAGAACAGACCCGAGAGGCTGGGAGGCATTCCGAGGAACGATATGTGCTCCGCGCATCCCGCGCAACGAATGAAAACGCCGTATTTTTTTCCTCATTCATTCGAGATTCCGCAAAGCTTCGGCGACAATCGGCTAGATTGTTTGTAGACTCCTTATTCGTATATATGCAGTTTTCCGATCTTATAAAGTTCCTCGTTCTCTTTTCCGAGTCACACCTTGCAGCGGTACTCACATTGACAACAATATCAGTCGCAAAAATAAATACAGAATATTAATCTCATTCCATTAGCTTCGCGGGCACAGTTCTTCGTTTTCAATGCCGCTTCTCTTGACCGACGATACTGTTCGGCTTGCAGATACAGCCTTCTGACGACGAGGGCTCATCGTCGAAGTCGATCTCCGTCTCCGTCAATTCATCGAGAAACACCATACGCGGATCCATAGATCTCCAGAAAAATACGCCTGTCTCATTTTAGAAAAGCATTGTTTGAAATCCTAGATGCCGCGATCAATTTGCGTTGTCGTTGTCCGAATCCAAGTCGTCATCGCTGCATAGGTCGGAATCTTCCACAGCAGAATCTTCGACTTCAACCTCGGACTCCTCGTCCAGAGCATCCCATTGAGGATGACTTTCAACGACAGGTTTCGCGGGCTTCACGTCGAACTTCAGGTCGACTTGCTTGTCGAAGTCCTGCGAATGAAACGATAGATACCATGAATACCATACGTCGATGATGCAAAGCTCGCGAGCGTATTCCCCGCTCCTCCGTGAACTCACCGTGACGTAGGAATCACTCTTGACATGTAGTGTTAAATGATAACTCCCGGGTTTCCGAGGTGCCGTGAATTTCAAAATGGCGTCCTCTTCGTCGACGAGATTGGTCATCAGGAAAGGAACTGTCATGAGCTGTTGCTGTTTTTTGTCGACGAGATACAGCCACCAGAACTCCTGTTTATCGCTCGGGAAATAAGGCGCGTGCACAGGATGAGAAATCTTCGGGATTTTATCCATGATCTTCTTCTTCTTCTTTTTGTCTTGATCGAAATGCAACGCCTCATCGTCTGACCCGTCCTTCTCGTCATCGTTGTTAACCTGATCCCCGTCGCTGTGATTGCTAGCGTCATCGCTACCTTCGTCTTGTTCCGCTTTGTCCCCCTGGTCGTCGTGTTTCTTCCGCTCCGTCTTCTTCCTCTTTCTGACCTGAGAGTCGCCAGTTTCGGCCTTGCCACCATCTTCACTTTCTTCTTTTTGTGACGCTTGGCTTTCGACACCGTCTGTGGATTCGACACCGTTCTCCTGAACACGATTCTCCTTGTCGGGTTCTGCGTCGTCCTCGCTACCTTCTTCGGGATCCGCTCTGTGGATCAGCCTGAAATTCGTTGGCTTCTTGGCCTAGAAAAGAACCGCGTGGAGCGCGTCAGAGGTTTCCCAATCATCGGAACAACGACTTCCAACCAACTTGAAAACTGTCAATATGCGACTCCCTTTCTCGTCGGCGAGCATCTCACCTTGGCCTTCTTCTTCCCACCAGACTTCTTCTGGGGCTTTTTCATCCAGCTCGTGATTTTCGGTTTCTCCTCTTCCTTGTCGTCGACGAGCTCTTCTTCCGACCGGTTCAGGACTTCCTCCGGTTTCCGTCGCCGCATCGTGACCGTCATTGTGACCAGAGAGTCAGCTGTGATGGTTTCGGGATCCTCGTCGTCGATAACTTCAAGTTTGTACTTGATCTCAACGGAGGGCATCGATTCGAGACATTTGATCACGTTCTGGTACTTGGCATCGTCCAAGAACCGTAACAAATCCCTGCGCTTCGTTTCCGTTAGCTGCCGCAGCTGATCGATGCTCTTGATGTGACATTTTTTGTTTGAGAATAATCGGAGGTGCTCCTCCCCGATGTACGGAATCTGGAGCAGAGGGTTACGGTTCTCCCACAATGCTTGCACAACCAGCTGGCAGAGCTTGATCGCGTTCTCTAGAGTTTCCAACTTGGGCAACCGTTGGATACGTCCACTGAGCGCCAGCATTACTAATTGAGACGTGCAGGACACGAACTCGCTCAGTAGGACAGGGCACTTCCTTATTATGTACCTCATGTCCTTGGCGGCGCCCTCGCTCAGAGGCAGCCGCAAGAGGTGCGCATAAAGCAATGCTCTGGCCTTGATCGAATATTCGTAATTCAACGGAGCCTCGCGATTCTTTTCACCGAAATCTTCGATTTTTTTGATGAGCTGGGGAATTTCCTCGTTATCGCTCGGTCGCATTTTCATGTCGGGGTTTCGAGACGACTCGAAATCCATTGAGGCCGCCACAATCATCACAACTCGGCGAAGAGGCATGAGAGATGTCTTGTTGATGAAGAAGAAATATAGCTGCGTCGTGTCAAGGAGCACTTCGAGATCTTCGCCGTACTTAGCGGACCTGTACCACCACATGCCCACGGCAGTCGGCAGACCGACCATGAATACCAGCATGTAGGCCCCGAGTACCCAGATCGAGTTCTCTTTCTCGACAATCCAGGAGGGAAGCGCAATACCTGAGAGATTCTTTTCCCTTAGAGAAATTTCGGAGCTGAGAGAGGATTTGCTTTTGAAACGATTCCAATACCAAAACGATTATCTCGGGAATTCTCGATGAATATGTACAGGGAATGGAGGCAGCGATTCACTCACCGAAAGACATTGCTCCTGGACCATCGGGATCGCCGTAGGTCTCCCAGTTCTTCCGAGATTCCTCATTGCTCAAAGCTTTGTATGCTCTAGCTATTTCTCTGAACTCCGCCTCGTCACCAGTCTTCATATCTGGATGGTGGATCGCTGCTAGCTTCCGATACGCTTTCTTGATTTCGGAAGTTGTCGCTCCCGGGTCCAGTTTGAGTATCTCGTACGGATCCCATTTCTTCCAAGTGTCTTCGAGGTGCGCTACCTGAATTTGAATTCTAGTATCGGATCGATTGTTTTTTCCGCGTTGTGCACAACGTGAAGCTCTGAGTGAGAGGATTCTCGATCCACTCAATCGATTCGTGGGCCTGGAGACGAGCTCCTGAACCTTCCGCGGAGTTGTTTCAGTGGGACCAGCTGCGATCTCTGATGGTCCACGCTCCACATTGACGATGATCGAAAACCTTCCGAAAGTTCGATTGGAGAGTTCCGTGATCGGCCTCTCTCACGCGGGCAACTAGGTGATTGTGGTGGAGATATTTCAGAACATTCGTCCTTGTTCGCAAAGGAACGCGGGAAAAGCGCTGCGGAGGGGATATATCGGCCCCATCCGTCACCTATTGTTTGTCGTCATTTCATAACGAGTAGGTGATAGTCGACCTCCGAGAATAGGAGTGGCTGCTTGCTTCGAACGTTTTCTCGATCTCGAATGTGGCCGAGAATACGGAGGTGCGGTCCCGAGCACGCTCGGGCCGAACAGTACGATGACCTCGACCATTCTATTGATGATCGATTCCGAAGTCGACACAGATTTGGGGAGTCTCCAGGTCTTGACAAAAAAAATCTAACATGTGATCCCGTTTCTCGAAGATGGAGGCCCGAACCTCAATATCGGGAGTAGAAAGGTCCTCCCTGAAGCGATGCATCATTTGAGGGGAACGAGGCCTCTTGCCCTGATAGACCAAAGTCGACATCGCACGGGGCATCCCGATACAGCGAGAGGTCGGCCGACCCTCTCCGAGAGATCCGCAATCATACAGGTTTCTGTTCGAATGTCAACTCCCTCCGAATATTTCTCACTCATGTTATTTCCGCGCTCGGAACATGATCCGGCGACGATCGTGTCTTGGGTCGCCAATCGATAAATCAATCGCTCCTCCGAATCAAATTAATGAGTCTTCCACCTTCGGAGACGAGGGAGTTCCTCGGGCCACCACCGCACTTTCAGAGTGTCGTAGTTTCCTTAAACCGATGCGTCGAACGGACAATTCAAGACTGCGGGCACAGCGGAATTAGTGCGTATCAGAACGGAACACTTCATCGGAGAACTTCTGCTCAGCCGGCAGACGGAAGTAAGCACCTTATGGACATCCAAATATATTTTCCCACGGAACTTGACAGCTTCGCCGACGGTATTGCGCTGGCTCCGTTTGACAGATTAGGTGTGGAATGATTCAATCAACAACCTACCTTGTAGGCGCACGCAAACATCGCAATCCAGCCGAGAACGATGAGGATTCGAATGATCATATTTTTCGTCTTGGTCATTGGAGCAATTTCTTTCAGCCGGGCGAATTTATCACGGCACGGAGAGCATTGGCATTTTTTCTTCTCTTCGTCGGGGTTCTCCTTGGATTTCCGTGGCCACAAATAATAGGTACAGGGCAGTACCACCATGGCGAGGAATGCCAAGAGGAACAAGAAAAACGTGCCTCCGTTTTCATCGTACTGAAACTTTGATGCCATCTTGTGCCGATTCTACGCCGACCAAGTCGGACTCCTCAAAGCGCTCGAGGCTCGGTCCACGGGGAATAAAACCCGGCCCTCACAGCTTCTGGCTAGTCCACCTGGCTTCGGCTACGACGACTCCGAATGCCACTTTTGAAAGCTCCACAGTCCCGCTAGCACAACTCACCACTGAAAACACTCACTCAGGTCTGGTCGTCTGGTGACGTTTGCTGCTCCTGGCCGACAGTGGCGCCAATCGCGGATAATCCGCACCCGGAAGAGTCCGCAATGATTAGCTTTCTCCACAAAGCGGAGACTTCGTTGCTGAACCCGTTTCGGGAGGAGAACCAGGTCTGAGCCGCCCTCCTAATCCGAGCTTCGCCGTTTCTGGAATAGCAGCGAGCAGAGCTGTAAAGGGTTCGGTCCCACTCTGGCAACATAAAAGCCTCCGCCACCACCTCTCCAGGGCGCGCGTCTTAATTTTCGAACATTCCCTGGAAAATTCTTGGAGCGGTCCACCGACAACGACCCGATCCCACTCCACCATGAGCCAGCTGTTTTTCGCGGACGCATCCTAACAGCTCGATCGAGAGTCCGGAACCATGCTCGATGGAGTCGTGCCCCAACAGCTGATCGGGCCGTGAGCGTCGTCTGCTTCGATTTCGCCGTCGGCACCACAAGGCAGAGCCTGTTCGATATTGCCCGAAACTTTCGCCGATCGTAGGACCGGTTGGACGGATCCGTTTGTTGAATACGCGGAACTGAGGAGTCATATAATTTCGAAGACAGTATCCCACCGTTTGGCGGAGATGGGCGAAGCTGTCAAGAAGTTGATGTACGTCGGACTGTCTGAGCAGAAAGCGAAAGAAACCCTGAAGAATGAGAGTTTGACCGGCGCTTTGACCGAGAGCTCGGACCAGGTTTGTGGCTTTGGACTCTGGTGGAATTTCCACCTTATGGAATTATTCATTCCCGATCGGATCTGGGAACGCGGCGGAAGAACGAGACTCTGCATGACATATCGAGCCCTCATCAGAATTAGAGTTATTAGCTGTTCTTGGAATAGTGAAGGGAATCAGGCTCAGTCTGACTGAATCTTGATGTTCTCTGGATCAGAAGATTAGTTGATCGGGTGGTCGCTGTGAACCGGGGCTGCGGTCTTCCACGAACCCGGCAGCGAGCAGCGATGCCCGCAACTGTGGAGGCTGGAGACCGTCGTTGCCTAGAGCTCCCAACAAGCACAACGTGTGTCCATAAGGTGGTTCGGGTGAGCTCAAACCATCTGGAGCTTCCTGTTTCTCGTGTCGATGGAATCACACCGAAGACTTCCGGCCCTAGAATCCCTATTGCCCTCTTGGTGGCCACCCCCGACCCGGATAGGCTGTCGCTTCAAGAGAAGGTCGACCCGATTATCCCCGGCATGCGATCAGCATGGAGAGTTGGGGCGTTAGGGGGATTCACGTCTGCTAGTCGGAGTCTAGCCGAGAAGGTCATGGGCGCGAACAATCTACGTACGGATCGTCTTACGAGAAGATAACGAAACCTGTTCAATATAATCATGAGCCGACTCGGTCGCTCTGGGAGCGCCGAAGCCACAGTCCCGCGAATCGAAGAGCGCCTGGCATTTACTCTTCCTTACTCCTACTACATCCGTCGGGGATTATTTTGGAACCATTGAACATTCTGAATTCGGGAGCTCGGTAGATAATAGGGTGTGATGTCAATGAGCAGTAATTGGAATGATATAGAGGGATAAGCAACGCGCATCTCGTGATGGAATTCATTCTAGGAATAGAAAAGCTCGATGATTCCTTGTCTCCAGGTGTTCAAACTGCTCAATGGAAAGGAAGTCCCGAAAACGACTCGCTCTCTGGTGTACAGCGCATGTTCGAAAATCAAGGCTCAATCCCGTGCTCAACTACCTATCATAATAGAGTACGTGGCGAAAGGACAACTCGACTCCGAAGTGAAGCTGGCCAGCGCTTTGGACTATTTGCTCTCCAAGCCCGGCGCTGAAGTGAACCGGAAGGTGAGCATACCGAGTTTTCTAACAGCTTTCCCTGAGCGAGCGTGAACACGAAGTTTCTCAATACAGAACTGCCTCCGCCAGGAATTCGAGAAAGCTTCCGGGATCGGCGTGTCCGTAACTCCGGAGGAAATCGAGAAAGCTGTTGAAATCATAATTGCTAGACACAGAAGCGAGCTCTTGGAAAACAGATATCGATTCAACGTCGGAACGCTGCTGGCTGAAGCGAGAACGGCTCTGAAATTCGCTGATGGCAAGTGTGTCAAGAACGAAGTCGACATGCAAGTACTCCATTTGCTTGGACCGAAAACGGATGAAGATCTGCAGATGCGAATTGCGAAGAAGCCCAAGCCCGTCGCCGCGCCGAAGGTGAGTTTATTGCTCCCGCATTTTTCAGAGTCGTTTCGCGGAGGGCAAAATAACAACAACAACAACAGCGAAAGTCACACGGCAAACGCACATCCGAAATTTATTTCGAGAGAGTTTCATGGGGGAAGTGGAGCTCCTCTCGCTGCTGAGAGACTCTTTTTCGGGTTTCCTATCCCCAGTAAACGACGGCGGAAAACTCTTCCAGAGCTTCGAAAATGGTACCACAGTCGAGTCCGCGGATTTGCTCCGCGATTCGATGCGCGCTCCCTCGGGGGAGCTCCCGGTCGGAGATATAAATAGTCACACGTTGTGGTTTCATGCCAGCAGTACAATCGGTGATTCGGTTGAACAGGCGTCACTAACGTGAGTTCGATAGCAGCGGATCGGCGGCGATCCTATGTCTTCATGAAGGTCAGGGGATCTTCATCGAAGTAGTGGATCTCCTGGAAGGGAGTATCTGATATGACGTCCGGTCGACGTAAATTGAGTGAGGGGCGTCGGTATTGCACGAGGTGGCGATCCGCGTGAGCCCTTCGCTCGGCCAGCCCTTCGCTCGGCTCCGCGCGTACTCGCTGGCTGGTTTTAAGCATGAGATAGCCGCTTCGGAGATGTGCGCCGCAGCTGTGATTAGCCGTTGATTGATTTTTGATTGAAATCTTAATGAACACTCACAATGTAGAGGGCAGCAGCCAAAAGGAGAATCTTCTCGACGAGCGAAGCGTCTTCGGGAAATTTCAAGCGAGCCCAAGGTCGGTCGTAACCTGGGTCCGGTAGAATTGTGAGGCGGTGTTTTTTTATTTCGCCAACGTTTATTTCGCCTTTCTTTATCTGCATTGCAAGGAGTCAGAATTCGAGTCAAAATCTCTAGTTTTTTTCCACGTCGACCAGGAGCTCAAGTCCTAGCACTACCGGGGGAAAAAGCCGGATTTTCATTTGGGTGGTAATTAATACGACGGGCTGACCTGAAAGTTTATGTTGGCCCCGAGGCAGCACTTCGTACATGTCGGGTATCTTCTGGTCGTGATCGTATAGAGGATGGATTCTCGCTCGTCCAAGACGGAATACGTCGGCTTACCGAGAGTGCGCCGATGTACTATGTGGCCGACCAGCATATCGTTCATCTCCACTGACATCGTCTGAAAGCATTCTTCGGTGCTGAATCCCGCAGCAACGTCGTGCGATGATTGAATGACCAAGCACAATGAGGGAAAGTGAGCCTTCCGTTCGCATTTGTCTAATAAACAAATTGACATCGGTGCCATACACGACGCATAAGGACCGTCCAGCCCGGAAGGAACAAACCTCTTTGCAATAATTGCAGCTGCAGCGGCATCCGCAACGGCAGCAGTTGTGATCCCGATGGGCGTAGAATAGGTCTTCGCCGTTGAGGTTCCTCACGGAGAGGTTTATCGGACGCAGCCGACCCCAGATAGACCGAATGCAGAAGTCTGTATCTTCCATAGTCGACAGCAGGGGCTGTCGGTGAACGTTCAGAATGGAGAACTCGGTGTTAACGTCTACATTATCCGGTGCTTTGGAGAAGGAGAAAAAGTTTCGTTAGATACTGCCACGATGATATATTGTTCCTGATGACCATGAGATTGCGCAAGAGTCCTGGATGTATGTTACAGCTGGAAGTAGAGGAAAAGAACTCTCTCGAGCTCGAAGCCGCTCCGGCGGCTTCAGTAATGAAACGCTGCCGATCGAGAAGCCCTTGCGCACGTAGGGGCCCCTTATACACGTATATGCAGGGACGAGGAAACGAACAGAGGAAGGAAGAAATCCGCATGCTTACACATTTCCTTCTCAAGTTTTTGCTCAACGATAACCTCGTCAACATCATCGAGGACACACGAAGGCAGAAGGCTGCGATGGTTGAAACGCCCCTTCGGTTGCACCGTTATGGCTTCCGGTGGGTCAAAGGCACCTCCAGGCTTTGGTTCCACCTGAACCAGCGACGACTTGGATGTTATCGTGAACGGCATTGGCGGCTTCCGGTCCTTGTCGCCGTCGTCGTTGTCTGAGAGTCGCGTACCGCCAGATAACACTTACCTGCGTTTAGAGAAATATCAGAAGACAAGCTAGCCAGCAAACCTGGCCAGCGGTCGCCGGCCACTCTGAGAGCCCCCGAAAATGGCGAGACTGCCGCAACTAGTGATTTCTAATAAATCGGAAATTGCCAGAGCCACCGCTTTCGAGTCGCTTCCAAGTGATCCCGGAATCGGGCGCGTATGGCCGAGTGGAAAAAGAATTCCGAAGTCGAATCTGAATATTGGTCGGGTCGCCTCGGAGAGAGGGGAAAGGCACGGAGAATTCGCTGTGGCCCGAGCGAACTCACTCACCTAGGCTTCGGAGCGTATCGACGACAGAGACGGAATCTGAAGTCTCTCGGTTGAGATTTCCTCGCTGCGCCACGGATCAATGTTTCCAAGGGAGGCGTTTGAGGAAACAGACCTGGAAACGGCCTTGATTGAAGAGGCGGGCGGGCGGCCGGCCGGGCTCCCGCCACGCTAGCTGACTGGATGGCAGACTGCGGGCCTATGCGTCGGAGCCTTTGTCGAGGGAGGCAGGCCAGGCAGGCAAACGGGCGACCGGTCGGTTGTCGCTGCTTCGCCCGCTCGCTCGGAAGGAATGGAAAAGCGAAACGTTCTCCTACACAACATTGACAGCCTTTCCTCGCCCCCCTCCCCTACCCCCCCCTCAATTCTGCTCGCTGCCCGCCCGGTCCCCCTTCATTCGTCCTTCTTGTCCCCTTGCCCTGTGCGAAGTAATGACCCCGGTCGACTTTTATTCGAACGAAACGCAACGACCCATTTTCAACTCTCAAGCAAGTCACATTCTTAGCGCTCCCGCGGGCGGGCAGTCAAGACTGACGGAGGGACGGACGAGTGGGCCGGCGAGCGTCTGGAGTATGCAAAATTTATTTCTCTGACTGAGAATAAAACAGTTCGATTCAGTCATACCACTACCGAGCCATTGCCGACGGGACCGGTTTCCGCCGTCGACGGCTCGCAACCCCGCCGCCGACGACGTCGACCCGTAGACATAGCTGCAAGCAAGCTCATTACGAGGTTCGCAGTGGTGGAGAATCAAGGTTCCTTCCCTCTCGGCGCTCGTAGACAAGGCGATCCTGGAATTCAAACGAGCACGTCCCGGTTCCTTCTCCGGCACGCCATAGGTTGCACAAGTGCTTTGGAATATTTTTTGTGTAGTCTCTCTCTCTCTGGCGAGGAGAGCTCGTGTGACTCGTCGTTGGCGAGAGTTTCGAACCTCACTCACCTCGACAACAAAGTCGGAATAAAATTGATTCGGAGCGCAGAAAATTTATTGACTGGCCTTCCGCGATTCTGTTAGCCTGGGGTTTGAGACTCGACGCTTACCACCACGAGAACAGCCGCGAGCATCGATGCCTCTCGCATTAGCAGTTGATCCTCATTGAAAGCTAGAAGGTACGTGTCTTCCGAAAATCCCCAGCACTGCTCGCTTATCAGTCCGGCCTCCCGACCGGATGAGTCATCTACCTGGCTCGGAACCAATCCGATTGAATCAATGAATGGAAGGATGGAAGAAAAAGAGCATAGAGATAACTTGTCTATTCGTCACGGAGATTCATCTCGGGGGCGCTGTGCGACTGCGCGCAAGCTCGAGCGGTCGAGCCGTATACGGAAGCAGTAGGTGAGACGTTTGGCGGGGTTGGCAAAGTTCGCCAATCATAAGCCAGCAATCTGTTCGTTTCCCTATGGGCAATAAATCAACCAGTGCTGAGCGGATGTTAGCCCGCTGTAACTCTCCGGCGCTGCAACGCAAGCAGTTAGCAGCGAGGCGGACGGGCCGGTCGCTGTTCGATCGGTCGCAGTTTTGCCGCTGCGACTGCCTCGGCCCAACCTCGCTCTCACCGAAAGAGCCCGGCAATGGAGCTGTCGGTCCGGCTCCCCTCCCTATGCTCACCGTAATGGCTACGATCCACAATGGTCTCGTTCGAATTGACGCTCCGTTCAGGAAGCGTATTACCGCAGGAGGTCAAAGTTTACTGACGCAGAAGTCCAAAGACCACCCGGCGACTCGGGTCGGCTTATTCCTTTGTCGGCGAGGAACGAGAAGCTCTTACGAGTCGCTACGAGTTGCTTCTGACTGAGCGTGTTCGGCCCGTAGACTGCTCGTCGTTCTCGATCCAGTGGATCCTCTCGTGCGGGAAATACCGTGGCGGATGGCCCGCAAACGAGAAAATTCAATGCTGGCTCACAGCCACCGCGATCACTCAAGGTGTCCGCCGGAAAAAAGTCCTCGGGTCCGGAATGCGTTTGAATCCGGAGCAGGAATGCATTCGTGGCGACGCTCGCTCGCGAGAGGGAAAAAAACTCACCGGGAATTCATCTCTACCGCGAAAGCGACAGCAGGTGGCGGCACAGCGCGGGAAATATTTGGACGGTGGCGGAATCGAATACAATTGATGTCCTGTTGAATCGTCGGGCACGAGACAATTTCTCAACCAGCCGCTACCCTGGCCTCGAGGAAAGCAAATATTCCCTCGGGCGGGGGAAATAATTCTAGTTTCTGTAAGGCGAGGAGAGAGATCCATTAAGTATCGGGAAGCTCGTCGGGAGTCTCGTCGGAAAGTCACAGAGCTCCGAGGAGCCGACGTTAACGTCCGACGAGTGATCCCCGCTGCTGCTGCTGTCTACCCATCTGCCGCAGGCGAATTAACGTTTGCGCTCAGCTCTCCTAGCCAGAGTTCCGGTGGCTAGCCGGCAGGCTGTCTGGCTGGCTGGCTGGCTGGCTGGCTGGCTGGCTGGCTCAGTCGTTCGTTCGTTCGTTGCCTCTCCCCCCCACTCACCCGTTGACAGATGAGTCCGCAGAACATCTTATTAAGACAGGGACACCCCTCGTCAAGGTGGACTTTCATGACCGGAGTCCCTCGCTTCGAGTCTCCCAACACGGGATCGTCATTATCTCCCGCACAACATAGGAAACAACAGAAGCAATTGCTGAGGCAGTTGTTCTCGTCGCTCGCCCTCGCTGCGTCTAAGAGGTTTTGTCCTGAAGGAGTGCGAACACTGTACGACGAGACCGGGTCACACAGACCGCAGCAGCCGCACCGGTCGCAGCAGCTGTAGTAGCACCAGCGGCAGCCTGTAGTAATAGGAATCAGTTGGAAGAGACGACTTCTTCTTCTTCTGCCGCTGCGTTCGCCTGGCCCGCTTCATGAGGAGGAGTTTTTAGAAATCAGACCTTTCGGAGCAGCGGTGTCGATTGAATTCGCACAGGCGCTCTTCTCGCTCGCTACTGGCGAAAGCAGCAACGAGAACGAACATTCCCCCCTCCCGCCCACTCATGTTCAAAGGGTTACACCAGCTGAGCGCTGACGGAGGGCGATAGTCGAGAAACATCGGGCGGAGTTCGACGAGTCTCAATTTCCCGACCCCCCCCCAAGTTGAGATGTCTCGAATTTCTAGTTAGGTAGTTTCCCTTTGGCTCCGCCCTCCAGATATCGGTCACGGAGTCATGCGATGAAATGTACCTATTGGCCGATAACGTCAGTTTTGATTTATTGTCTATCCGATCATGGACAACAACGAGGAATCTCGGGATCCCTTGAGTAATTCCTATAAGCCGCTCGACCTCTCAGATTCGGCGTGCGGCTTCGACAGATCGGACAGCGAGCGGAAGCGGGTTCCCACCATACGCGGTGCGATATTAGAGAAAAACGATCCCCCCGCGGCGGATCCATTCGTTGTCAAAGACGCAAACAAGGATCCCTCGGTTCCGATGCTAATTCCACCACCGCCAAAGTTCGACGCGTTCGAGACAAAGAAACCCGGACCTTCCTAGTGGAGGAGAGAGCGACTAGGAACAAGCTTTCGTTATCGTGGCTGCGTGCACATATGTTCATTGCCGCAGTGAGAGAAAAATATATGGCATCGACTACTCAGCCTTACCGTGTCCATTTTTCATATTGTCCTCATGGCGGGTAGATTCGGGTTAGAGACCGTAGAACTAAGAACGGTGGTCGTAGTGACAACAACGGTCGGAGTGAGGGGCCTAGGGGGCCGATGTGGCATTGGTTTTAGTTGACCGTCATGCTTCAGCGAAACGAAGGAGAGGAGCTCGGAGGTACGAAGACAGTATTTGTCTTCGGTTATTGTCCGCACGGAAGACAATGCGTTCCATGCAACGTGCGGTAAATGGAGAACCGTCAATCAAAGGATCGGTGGACCAGCCGGCTGGCTGGCCGGTACCGGCGGGTGTTCGTGAGATCTAATCTGAGTGTCCATTGCGCGACTGACTGACTGGGTTGGTGGGAATCGCTGCGACGTCCATGCATTCATTTTCACGCATGCGAACAGCGTGCGTGGACACCGTAGATATACCGGTGGTAAACGTGTCAGAGCAGCCGTCGCCGCCGACACCACGTACTTCCACTGTAATCTTGTATGCGGCCACGTGGAGCGATTGAATGATGTTCGCCGTGGCGGTCGCTGTTGCCGCCGCCGCCGGGTGTTCGTGGCGAGATATTAGAAACGAGGAACTACGGCTGCTGGAATAACAGCTGGAAGTGAATCGAATATTGATAACACAAAAGTCAGCTCAATATCGGACCGTGTCTACTCAGAGGAAGGTGCAGATGCGCTGGCTGCCGTATCCCCCGTCGTCGTCGGATGGATCCTCGGCGGGAGGCGTCGCCTTCGCAGAGACGAACTCGATTCCATCGTGGCAGGAGCGAGGCTTTCGTTTGACTGTTAATTGGGGAGGCTCTCGAAACTGTATAGTAGAGATCCGTGAAATTGTTTATTCGCGCTTTTTTTTCGAATCCGCGCATTCATCACCACCGTCGCTGAGTGGGGGGCCATTGCCGTCGCGGCCCGAATCTATTCAGGTTTCCCGCAATGAAGGGCAGAATAGAGCCTCAGAATCAGCGCTGCATTTCTAGAATCCAAGGGAAATTAGGTCTGGGACCTCGCATCGCATAGAACGTAAGTCTCGATTTGAATCCAGTCCTCTAGGACCTGGGATCTAGACATCGGTAAAACCACCGAGTCCCAACGCCATTATCCGTTCGCGGGACAAAATTGGGTTCTTCATAATTTTTGTCATTGACTATTTTGAATAATCCTCTGGCCGTCTCTGAGATTCCGTCGTCCGAGACGCGAAGTGTTCGCTGTGGGTTGCTCTCCAACAATGGATGTTCGAGTCCGGAGCAACAAATCAACTGCCCTTAATGACGACAGATCATTCGACAGACGGGTTGTGAGTCCGCTCCTAGTGTAGTGGTTTTCTCCCAGCCGGTCAGATGGTAGCTTCGTCTCGCCGCTTGTTCTCGTCGACGTCGTCGCAGGGTCGACGTAAAGTTCGTTTGGCTGGATGCCAATGTTTGTTTGCGGCGGCGGCGGCGGCGCACAGCGTGGCCCTGTCTTTCGACAGAACGGCGGGAATGGAAGCGCGGGAAAAGTGGGAGGCAAGTAGCGGGAGCATGCGGGAGAATGCAGGGGGAAAAAATTCCTCGACTGTGTCAGTGTGATCTCACCTCTCTGCCGTGCTTGCCAACAGTTGCTCAGCATTTGCTCTCAACCGTTTTGGCCTCGGAGAATCCTCCCGACTGTCGCCTGATTCACGCTGAATGTAAGGTCCGAAGTCACGGCACAGTGAACAAGATGAATCACTCCTCTAATATCGCGAGTTTTCGCTTGCTCCTTTCTTGTTGCTCTTCCGCCCGCTCCCGTCCCCCTCAACGGTCAGTGGGGGCGGTGAGTTAGACGGTAGATGACAACTTCCCCGCCACGGAATTCACCCGGATAGAATGCCTCTGGCCGGTCCGCTGGAAAGTAGGTGGCCGAGGGTTGAACGGAGAGTAGCAAGTCCCGATCCCGATATCGATCCGAATCGTCGAAATCTTCGACTCCACAATCGAGCGTGGAAAATGCGAACTCGGGGATAGGGTCAGGCCGCAACCGGGAGCGTGCCGAGGGGGAATAGGATATGGTATTCAAAGGGAATCGACGAGCAGAAGGCATGAGATTCGTGGCGGATAAATTAGCCGGCAATCGTCCGGAATCGTTCCGCTCGGCCCTGTGTCCTCCCCGGGCCTGGTACCGTCGAGCAAGGAATCGTTCACCAGGTCCTTCGCGCCTGGAATCTCGCCACTCGGAGTGGTCGGGCTGGAGGAATGGCGGCTCTTGCAGATTACGAGCCTGACGACCGTTTCTCTAGCTGCTCCCTTCCTCGCGCTCGGCCTGTTGACCGAGCTCGCAAGAGAACGAGCGATCGCCAGACAGCGAACAATAGGCCGAAGCGAGGCCCCGATGATACAGGAAACATTAGGTGAAGTTATTGCGGCAACCTTTTCCGCGGTCAATGTTGTATTTGGCGTCTCCATCTGGCGGCTGCTGCTGCTGCCGTCTCGATGATGCCGGGCAGGAATGAGCCTCCAGTTCCTCAGCCACCTCGCCGCTTATCTGCGTGCCTGATCGCATGTGTATGCCGCTACCTCGCGACTCCGCCCGCACCCGCGATTCAGTCGCGCTGGCCGGAAGGCGGTCAATCAGCGAGCCGAGTGGACTCGGAAAGTTTATTCGTCGGAGATTCGGTCGAGTTTGCGTTCAGTGAAGCAGCAGACGGGGCTGTTCTCTGTTCACTTTCTTCGGCGAGGGCCACACTTGCGCTCTTCCGGAACTCGGCTCCAAAGACGGGCTCGGCTTCTGCGGGAGAACGAGCTGACTGTGTTTTTAATCGCTCAAGTAAACTCATTCCCTATCGCTGGTCTTCCTTCATCGTTTCGCTATCAGCCGCTCCCTTCGCTATCCCCAGCGCAATTACGCAGGCCGGGAAGAAAATGGAAGTCCACCTAAAAATTGAGCCACATCAGGAGAGGGACAAGCCTTCTTCATGATTTTCAATTATTCTCTGTTTATTGTCGATATCAATGATAAAGTTTTACATCCTCTTTTTTCGATGACTGTGTAGCAACGATAGGTGTAGGTACTTCTTCTTTGAATTGACTTCGTGTTCTCTCGATGATTTGTGACCTCGAAACAGCAACTCAGGCAGAGATCGGCGATTCCTGTTTCGACTCGGTCATGTATTGGCACCAGTTTCCGTTGGAAGCTCGGAGAAGACCTCGTTCCCTTACCGGGTCTCACGAGTTGACGATTCGCGGATTCAGGGCGAACCGAGGACTAGAGAATCGAAAATCGCATGTTGTCAGCGGTGCGCTGCCGAATAAGAATTTTCCAACGTGTTCCAGGATTCTCCCTCCCATAGCATGACCATACGGGGCGAACAACTGAGCCGGGGTGGAGGCGTCCGATCAGAATTAGGATCCCATGAACAACAGATGTGACCACAGATGTGGAGCTCTGAGTCCGTGCAGGGAAAGAGCATGAGATCACCAGATCATTAGATACGTCCAGATCGGTTGCGCGGAACTTTCCAGAGGGCAAATCACGTGAATAGAGGGGTTTCCGGGACCGAACGAATGCTTCCGGGGTATGCGTTGCTTGCGAAGGCCGCGGCTTCGTCTGAGATTTCAGTTTTAAGGCACGATTGCACGGCGATGATAGTTCTTGTCCAAATTCAATTATACTCGATCATCATTTAAGACACATCCGTCCCTAGGCGACGGCTCCAAACGACGGCGACGACGTACTCTAATTCTCGACATGAGTCGTCGCGAGGTTAGCTGAGACATATTGCCCTCCTCTCACTCCCTCTTTCCTGTGGCGTCTGAACCCTTTGTGGAACACAGTCAGAACGAACTTGAGTGATTTTTTTCAACCTATCCCAGCTCACACGGAAGCCCTTTCTTCAGACGGCGGACCTCGTAGGTGTGATATGAGTCACTAGTAAACTGACGACGATACACTGTTTATGCGATAGGCACCTGCCGATATGATAATAAGTTTGTAGGACTATCAACTTCGAACTCAATAATTATGCATAGTACTGACAGTAGGCCCGGTACCCACTAATGGCGAGATCTATTCTCGAATCCGTGTAATCTGTTTATGAGCTACGGCGAAGAAAGCTAGACGAAGTTCCTCCGATCGGATATCTCATTCATTCGCTCATAATAAGTCGGGGGGAAAAGAGTGACGCATTCGGGCATTTAGGAACCAAATTACATGCTAGCCTTGCACCCATTCTTTCATTGTGTCCAATGATGCGACAGAAGTTAACTATTCGGTCCGATTGACGGCTCCTCGCTCCGAGTGAGAGAAAATGATATTCTTCGTTCCCTGCGATATTCCAGGAGAAGTCCCAGTGTTCGACAATCATCTCGAATTCATGGTCATTCGATGGCTAAACAGGTGCTATTGTGTGCTCTCATTCGATGATGAATGCGATCATGTGCTTCGAGAATCTGTTCCACGAGCTATATCGGCGATTGTCGCGCGGATAGCCGAGTTAGATTTTGCTCGAGCGATTCCGTTCGATTGAGGGGACGAGAGGGCATGATGAGGCTTGCAATCAAGCTACAACCAATACGATATCGAGCGCCAAAAATTGAAAGCTTTGGACCGACTATATCCGCTCGATGTTCCAAACGGCAATTTTTACGATCATCCTCACTTTTCGGGGTGATAATTAATCTGCGCTAAGGGAAGAACGAACAACGAATGAACTCGGGAGCCGCTTCCCGGAATCGGGTTGCGGGCGATTTCGGTACTATCGGAGAAATCCACGAACACGAGCTCACCTTGGCGAATTTTGTCCTCGACGCGCTACGCAGAAGGGGATATTGGTAATTCGACAAGATTAACCCTCGATCCAATGGAGTCGGGGCTCAAAAAAAATCAGGCAGCAAACCTTATGATTTGAAGACGGTTGAGGCTCACAGGCGAATATCTCGCCTCAAAATCGTCGTAGCGGATACATCCGGACAACAGGGCGGCCAGAAAAAAATCGGAAGGACACGACAGGATCAGAGCGAAGGAGCGATAGATTTCAAGGGTTTGTCTTTCAATCACCACCGTGTGATGCTATGCCGCCTCCCCAAGCCGAGAAATTCGCGTTGACCTCGTTGCTTGTTTCGGAATGCTGAGATGATGAACGACGGGAGTTTGCGATTGAAGGCATCTGGTGCGAGAGTCCGTTTCGGGAATATTTTTCTCGTTCTCGTTCGTAAAAGATGAAATCCTGCAAATGAGGAGAGAGAGAATCTCAGGAAATGAATCACGACGCGAGTTTTTTCGGTATAATCCTACTCCCGAGAGCCGCCAGCCACCCTCTGTATTCACGGAGTCTTGTACGAGAGCGATTTCGTGATTTTCTCTACCTGAGAGGAGACTCGCATTCTCTTGTAATGGCTGGTCAGGGAAACGTAGGCGTAGTACGCGGACGCTCTAGCGGAGATAGGCATGTTCAATTTTTGATCAGCTCTTTTGGCACGTCTTAGCGGAATAAAGCTAATGGAAGACGACCGTCTATTAGATGACAGCGATCTGGGGATCGAATTGTACAAACCACTATTTACGCCCCAGTCGTCGAGTGAGTCCCCATCGGGGACGGTTCCTCTTGGCCTCTTGTGTTAAAGGCTCGTCCCTTTTCCGAGAAGTCACCCCTCCCCCGCGCTAACCCGTCCTGCCCCTTCGCGTCTACAGGAGCTTTCTCTCCACGTCTTCTCGGTCCCGTCGTCGCGTCGCGCGGGTTGATGGAGTATTTTCCGGATCCGCGCGCGCTCCCGCCCGATACCGCTACGACCGAATCGGAATTTTCCGATTTGGAATGAAACAAGAAAAAACTCCATTAGCTCGCATAGACCTTCCCTCGAGCCGTTTCCGATTTCTGCCAAGATTCCAGAGCGCTGATATTTCTGAAAAGCTCGGATCATTCCTGTCGAGTAACGTCTGTCTCGACGGGCAGACAGGCTGACGACTCGTGGCGGCGGCGGCGGCGGCTGTGAAGGGCTGCTCTGCTAAATTGTTAGAGCGCATTGTATTTTCAGAACAGCTTTCCCGTGGTCAGATGGATGATGAAGTTTTTCTCTCCCTCGCGGTGGTTGAACAGCCCGGGGCTTTTTGAAGGCTTGCCCGTCCGCCTGTCCGCGCGCTCAAGAAAAGTGCGGGGAATGCATTGGAAGAAACGAATAACGTGGCGTCAGCGATTCCGAAAGAAGTTGTACGGGAGCCGCAGGACCAGTTTGGGGGATTTCCGTCGAGCTAGGGGAGTCAGATTCGCGAAGAATTCCTGAAATCCCCAGGATAGTGCGTCACGTGCGTCGAAACGGAGAAAAAAACTTAATCTGGCCACAGCAGTGGTCCGATGACTGCGGTTGCATATAGGCCGGCGTCTCAAGCCCGACTGACAGTAGCAGATGGTCAGCCCGGTGTTTTCGGGTGATGCGCGTGAATAATTCACCGGATAATCGCTAATTGAGTATGCGGACTGATCCCTGGCGTCGTCCCTTGTCGTGTTATTCCTCTTCGTCCTGCTCCCGCCACTCAAACTCCTTCTGTAGGCGGCTGCGTGGCCGAGATTATCCCCGGGGGAGTCTCCGAATAACAGTGGGCCTTTGAATAGGCGTGGGGAATTCAGAGGCGGCTCAATCAATGAGCGTTGATATTCAGAGACGTCTTCCCGATTCCGTCGAGGATAGCTCCTCTTGACGAAGGGCAATCCAGAGCCTGGGTTCGTCGATTGCGAAAACTGCAAGGCGGCGATTGATAGCCTTGAACACGGTCATAGATGCGTCGCCTGATGGAGGAATCGCTGCAAGACTGAAGATGACGCTGCTCCTGAAGATTTTCGCCCAAGACCAGCTCTGCGTCCGAATACAAATCTGGCTCTGCCTTTGGAAAAAGGTACCGCCGATTTCCCCCGACCTACGTTTGAAAGAATATCGAAGCCCAACGGCAAAACTCCCGGAACCAGAAGACTTCTACCGCTCCAATCGATCGATGCTATTTGCTGATCGTGTCCTTCTGCTACTCACAAGGATCAACGCTACCCCGATGAGCAGGGCTTTGTGTGCCGCAGGAATCTCCTCCGGGAAAGAGACCCCGAAATTGTCCGAGGTGGCCAGCAGCTCTTTGGGAAGGTTGTCCCATTCCTTGCTGACTCGACCGACTTCCGTCCCGGTGTGGTCTGTGATCTGAAAAGATTCCGAGAAAAGAAAAACTCAATGTAGAAAAGAGTCTCTCGATCAGATTATCGCCGCGCAAGGCGATACTTCCTTCCTCTCTCCCTCCCTGCATTGCCCGCTGCTTCCCCGATCGCGCATGGAATTTCATCGGGGACTATGACCGAAACATCGTGGGAATCCGTGGCTTTGTCTTCGTGCCTTCTCCTCCGGCTCCGCACGATGGTTCGGTCTGAATGGGTTTCCATCTGGTTTCGGGGTAGGTTGCGTTGGCACACTTCTCTGGAAGCCGGGTCTCCCTTGTTGTGCTTTCCCATCCCCGCGAGCGCAGCGACTGCCTCCGTCGAGGCTGCTGTTGTTGTCGGACGTTCAGGCACAGAAGGGTACGGAGAGGGAACGCCGGGAGGCAAACTACTAATACCTCTTCCTCCCCGGCCGTAACTCGGACGTCCTGAGCAAGTCGCTATGCGTTCGTATGAAGCGCTGGTACTCGAAGTATTTGGCGCGAAGTCGCATCGCTCGCAGCTCTCGAGATGAATGGAGAAGAGTCCCGGAAGGGGACAAAGGTATGATGTATGTGAGGAGCTTTCCAGTCGCCGCCGCCGCCGCCACCAAAAGCTCGTAAGCTATCCTTTTGCCAGGCCCGCGGCCGCGCGTGTGTCTGTCTATCCGCCCGTCTGTTTGTCCGTGCGTCAGCCAGTCAGTCAGTCAGGCCATCTATCCATCCATCCGGCTGCCTGCCAAGAGGGAAGCATTCCCCAGTGACAGTGAGTTTGAGAACAAATGAGACGAACTCTTGCTCGGAACCGGCTGCGGCAGCACAATTCTCCATTGGGACATTCGGATGCCGTCCTCGATGCTGCTGCTGCTGCCGCCGCCTACACCGCAACTACCGATAGAGTGGTCAATAGTTGCAGCTCTGGTAGCAATCGGAGCGATGCCTTCCTCACAGGTGGTCAACCGAACCCGCAGCTGACCGGCTCGGCGTCCGGTAGGTCGGTCCACACTCCTTTTCGCCCGTGAAACACCCCGCAGCAACAGTAGCGGTTGCTTGACGCACGCACGCACGTCTGGCTGCGCGAGCGGAAAAACCGACGACAGGGAAGGGGACCGCATCTCTGTAAAATTT